AGCAGCTTTCTGAACAGGCACAGGTGTTGACCTGCAATGGAAAGATGTAAAAGTACATTAAAGGCCTGCAAAAAACACACACATACTCTTACTCACACATACAGTTAATGGAAATAAATAAATAAATAGCTAAAGATGTACTGGCTAGTCTGTAAGTCCTTCAAAAGGTTGTTCCCTGAATTGAACACCATTACAGTATCTACCATGAGTAAGCGCCGTCAACGAAGCTGAATTAATCAGTAGATACATGAGAGGATTTAGCTTCCTAAGAAGCTCCTCCTTCACATTTTATCAGTATCTTGCTGTGTTACGTCTGCTGAAGGTCCGTGTGCAACAACAGAAGCTGTCGCTTTAAAAATTTTAACAGGGCATATACTTCTGCAGATGTTATCAGTTAATTTCTGTCGACGAGGAATGTTGCAATGTATGTAAAAAGCACATACTGTTCTGCTACCACTGCCTTTCACAAACAAGGAAACAGAAGATGAGTTGAAAAACCTGAGTACCATGTCTTCATTCAGGCGACAGTGTCTTTTATAGGTCATTTTTCTCACTTCAGCAGATTTATAATTATGCACGTAAAAGAAGCATGAACAAGATGGGATGAGTGGAAAGTCTCTGAGGCATTCCTTTGATCTCAATAAATAATAATAATGAAGATTAGCTGAAGTTCGTCTTGCGCAGGTGTCTGTTGGGGATTTCTATGGCGCTCACTTGTAAAGGCCAGGAGCCGCCCATGATGCCGGCCTGAATGGCCACGCCGGTAACCACAGCCAAGTCAGGGTCTACTGACGTGTTGGGCTCCTTCCCAAAGTACTCGCTGATCAGCCTCCTGATCCGCGGTATCCTGGTGGACCCTCCAACCAGAACGATCTCATCCACGTCTTCCTTCTCCAGGTGGCCCTCACTTAACACGGTCTCAACAGGAGCCAGAATTTTCTGGAAAAGGTCCTCGTTGAGCTCCTCAAACAGCTCGCGAGTGATTGTGGCCTGGAAAAGAACCGGAGTTGAGCCTTCAGGTGACTCAGAACTGTCATGGGTGTGAAGGTGCAGGGGCACCCTCATGGTGACACTGGGTTGAAGGGTAAGGTTGAGCTTGGCGGCTTCCACAGCCTGTCGGAGATGATGGATGTCCTCTTTGAGAGTGGGTGGGACACCAAACTCCTGTCGGACTCTCTCGGTGGTGTACTGGAGCAACCTCTGGCTGAAATCTTGACCTCCCAGCTTGTTATTCCCTGCCAAAACACACAGTTCATTTAAGATAAGGCCACTGTTCACGTCAGCAACAATGCCTCTGATATAGTTTCAGAATAAAGATACGAAAATTAAATCACGTTATTTAGACACACACTCTTTCTGTGAAACAGATTAACTAGATGAATCCAGGTAAAAGTCCTGACCCCATATTATTTTCAACTGTTGAATCCACTTCAATCATGAAGAGGAGAGCACAGAATTAAATATTTTAAGCCTTTAACTGGGACATAAACTCTGCAGCAAAAGATAAAGCTCCTTATACAGACAGCGGTGTGTTCGTGTCACCTCCTATCTCTTATTACTGAAGCAGTGAACACACTTTACCTGCCATGGCTCTGGTGAGGAACATGCCTCCCTGTTTGTTGAGCAGGGAAACATCCAGAGTTCCACCCCCGAGGTCGACCACCAGCACATTGAACACATCCACCTTGTGCAGGCCGTAGGCCATGGCTGCAGCTGTGGGCTCGTTGATCACACGCAGGATCTCCAGACCTGCAAGACAAAGGAAAGAATGTACACCTTATACTGAGTATTTCAGTTGAATGCTGCTTTTAATTAATTTTGCATGTTTTATTTGAGTGCTGTTTTTATTTCACCTTGCATGTTGTTTACGTGTGCTGTGTTTTATTCTTTTTAGCATGTTTTTACATGTGAACTGTGCAGTGGCAGAGACACAACCCCTCCAGTCCCTGATTACAGGGTGAGCATCAGGTGTGCTAGGCGACACACCAGCTAAACAGTTTGTTGGAGACGGTGTGGTGGACAGAGACACAGAGACAAAGAGACAAAGAGCGGGGCAGGAGAGGCAGTGTGCGGTCCACAGTGTTTTTTAAAAAAGAAGCAGCCAGGGAGGAATCAAGGCAGCGGGGCCTCAGAGACTCAGCCAAGTCATCAAGGAGCAACGTGGTGGCTACGGAGCAGCCAGTGTCTGCCAACACAGTTTACCTCGGGCCTGGGTTGGCATTTGGACAGCTGCCACCGAGGAAAACCGTGAGTATATCTCAACATAACTGAATGGCGGACACAGATGCAGACCAGAGAAAGAGCTCGAGCTATAGCTAGGGGTAGCTAACGCATTGAGGAACACGCTACTGGTTGTATCTCTGCTCCTCCTCAGTTCGGACGGGTTGGTGAGCCCGGCAGCTAGCGTGGAAGAGGAGCGGAGTACATTGGAGCAGCAGTAGATGTGGATACAGTGTACGGGAGAGGAACCGCTGGGCTGGACTTGGACTTTTTGATGGGCTGCATCCCCGCTGCAAAGTGACCTTTCACTTTTTAGTATTTTTCAGTATTCAGTACTGTTTATCTGGGTGGTGCCATCCCTTGGTCTTTGACTGTAATAAATTTGGTTTTAATTGAATATACTCCTGTTTGGTTTTTAAATTCTGCTCCCCTGATTTTAAAGAACCTGTGTGCTTTTTAAGAGTCCTAGGCCCTGAGCAATTCCTAGGTGGCATTGTCAGCTCTTTTTTAACAAAAACATTTTTTAAAGGGCAGCCCTCTTAACAGAGGCTGGGCCAGGCCACAAATGCAGTGTGCACTTGAGAACTGTTTGATGCCTTTGGATAAGAAAAGCTGTTATACATCTTAGCTGAAATATATCCAAATGTATCAAACTTCTGAAACTGTCTGGTGTGCTTCTGTGTCAAATGACCCTCTGGCACTTTCAACTTCAAGGCAAAATAATCACAGTACTGACCAGCAAGGTTAGCAGCCCTGACAGTGTAGTTCCTCTGTCTTTCGTCAAACTCTGCAGGCACAGATATGACAGCCTTCTCGATGAGCACACCAAGCTGTCGCTCGGCCATCCTCCTCATCTTGAGCAGCAGCCTGGAGCCGATGAACTCCGGGCTTACAGTGAAGGAATGGTTGGTGGAGATGAGAAACTCTGCACTTCCATTATTGTTAATCACCTGGGAGAGGGACAAAGAAACAGTGTAAGTGAGGATGGAGAGAGGACAAAACTGAGAGCAAATCTCAACACTATTTGGTCAAAATTTTCACCATTAAGTGAAAAATAAACTACAGATTAGCTCAATTAATTCCTACCCTAAACATATGGTAGCCCTTATTCTGGGTATATCCGAGTCTGGGCAGTCTAAACGATGGCTCTGAGTGACGCATGATGCAAGACACCACCTGCTGCTGATGTGTCAACCAGTACGCTTGACTGACTCCTGAAAACACAACTGATCCACCGCAGAAATCACAGTCAGCCAGTTAAACCAACACCATCACCACCCACCTTAAACGGGTACCGAGCACTCTCCTGATCCAGGACTTCCGGCTCAAATATCTTCCCGATAAACCTCTTAGCATCGTAGATGGTGCTTTGAGGGTTGCTGTCAGCCAGGTCCACGGCTTCATGTCCAGCCAACACAGCTGTGGTGGTGAATGAGACGGCGCTGGGGATGCTCTTCCTCCCCTCTTCATCCGCCATCACCTCAACCTCCCCGGTGCCCGGGTGGAAGACGCCAACAGAGCAGAAGGTGGTGCCCAGATCCAGGCCGATCACCTTCGGTTTGGGGGGTGGGAGGTACTGTTGGCCCAGATAGCCGGCTAGAAACAGGGCCAGGATCACCGAACCTGTGGCATGGTGATAACACGCGTATTACCTGTTAGCTCAAGTGTTAGCATCAAGACACCAGTTAATTACCGGAAACATAACAACTGTCATTCAACTTACCAATCATAGAAATTTCTCCGGACATCGTCACACACTGTTGCGAAGTCAGCTACCGCTTAAAATCCCAAAATGTCCGTCAAATGGCTCAAGTTGCGGTGAGACGATGTCTTCCTTTGACAAGTGGATGATGCGACATAGGAGTTTTTCAGACTACCAACAAAATACACGTCAACGTTGCTTGGCTCCCTGTGTATGCTGGGTAATGTAGTCAAGGAATACGCCATTTACGCCACGGATAGCGTAGCAAACGTTAGCCATGTACTACAATTCCCATCAGTGCTGGTGACGTGTAACGTAAACGAAAGTTTCGTGACGTTTCTGTGTTCTCAGCCAATCAGGCAGAGCCAGGACACATTTCCAAAAAAAAAAAAAAAAAAAAAAAGAGAAAAAAAAGGCTGACGCAAAACCCGGTTAAAACAAATTATTCTAATTAAATATTACTAACATAGATATATAAATAAATACAATTTAAGTAGTTAAAATTAAAAAAAAAGTGTACATAACTAAAAAAAATGCGGACGCGAAAATCTGGTTAACACAAATTATTCTAATTAAATATTAATAAAAAGACAAAAGAATAAATAACATTTAAGTAGAAAAAGTTAAATAAAAAAGTGAAACTAAACACAAGTGTAAGTAATAAAAAAAAGCTGACACAAAAACCCAGTTAAAAATAATTATTTTAATTCAATATTAATTAAAAAATAAATAAATAAATAAATAAATGGACAAAATTTGAGTAGAAAATTTAAAATGAAAAAAGTCGAACTAAATAAAAAATAGTGACACAAAAATATGGTTAAATCAAATGATTCTTATTATTTTTTTTTAATTATTTACTTAAATTAATAATTAAAGTAGAAAAGTAAATTTTAAAAAAAGTGTAACTAATTAAAAAAAAAGAAGAAGCTGGTGCAAAAACCTGGTCAAAACAAATTATTCCAATTAAAAATTCATAAAATATAAATAAATGAATACAATCTAATTTATTTTTCTAATTATCATATTTCATGTATCATTCAGGTACTGTAGTGGAGGATTAAATAAATAAGTCTGATTAACAAAAAAACATCATATTTTAATTGGTTTTCTTTAATTTTATTCACAAACAGTTGAATGCTGACTTTTGCATGAGTTCACTCGCAGGCTCTCTCTCTCTCACACACACATACACTCATTCACAAACAAACATTCAGAAAATAACATACATGTTTTCCTGTACAGTATACATTATATAGGCAAGATCTGAATATGTGCTGTTCAAACCCAGACACTACATCTCCAAAACATCCCTTCAACATCACTTCATTTACAGGGAGAGAAAAAAAAAATACACTGGATGTTGAATTGAGAATAGATTTGATGAGACAGGTGAAAATGACGCAGATGTGATAAATAAAGGCTTTATATTGGAGAGAAAAACACTAAATGATTGAGAATGCAATAAATACACGTGACATTTAATCAATGAAATGTCACTTTTTCAACAACATAAAATAAACTCAAAACTTACAACGTGATTATTATTTTGATGAAGTGACACATGGATAAGATGACATTCAGAATAGTGGTTGTTCTTCCTATTACACTTTTAAAAAGCTTTTACTAGCTTGTTGTAACAAGGGATATCCACATGACATTTTGAAAAAATAAAAGGAATAATTGTAGAAACAACAAGTCATAAGAAAAAACCCAACACTGAATTCCAAACGTCAAAGTATCCATCTGACAGGTGATCACGTTATGAGTCCACAGCATCTGTGATCTGCTCTACGTCGTCTTTGCTGTCTGAACATTCAGATGGGATGAAGCAGCCCGAGTCTCTGGGACAGTCGCTGTCTTCTTCCTGTAGACTGTGGGAGGATTTGTGCTCCTCCGCATCCTTGACATCATCACCTGCGGCCACAGAGAAAATGGAATCAGTCAAATGTCATAATATTACAAGCTTCTGTTTCCAACCACATTAGAAAAGATATAACCCGTGCCAAGTGCTTCAGTCAGTGGAAAGTAACTCGTATTCAAATGTGTAAGGCGGGTTCTCTTTGATATTTAAATGATTTATATATGTGATAGCAATATAGATAGATTAAAAGTCTTTTTTTGTAGATACAACATCTCAAATGTCCTCTTTGACTTTTATTTTCCACTCTCACTGAGTAAAAATATTCCACCATTCTTTAATATTTCTAGTTCACCGATGAAAGCGTCTAATCTTCCGGCCCAGGTTGCCAAACCACTAACCTAATGGAATTTAGCTTGATTAAATTACTGGCATCTCATGTGAGTCAATAAGCTTGGCAGGGTCATGCTGTGGCCGCTGCCATCTGTTTAGTCACACTGAACACCCCGAACAGTACATTTACACTGAGGATAATTTGGCCTTCTCTGCACATGCAGTGAAACAAAAGCAGCGAGAACAGAACTCGCCGCTGGATGTTGTTCCTTCTTCACACTGGAAAGTAGTTTTGTTTTCATTCACAGGGCGGTAATCTGCTTTCTGCTTCAAGACATCAGATTACAGGAACACCTTCTGCTCCATTAAGCACTTTCTATCTGAGTAACAGGAAGTCACTGATAAGCCTCTCAGAGTGTGCAGGATGTATTTCTGTTACGTGTGGCACAAATGCCTCAGCTTTCACCTGCTATTTTACATTCAAAAGACTGAGCACTTTTATTTACTCTCCAACAGATATGCATTTTTCTAATAATTTCCAACCAAGTGGTAATAAGCAACAGCATCAAGTACTTTACAGATACAGGATGTTCATTTTAGTGTCTTTACATTGGCTTCTCTTGCTGTTTGAATGCCACTTAAGTCATAAAAGCTTTTTGTGAAATGACATCTGTCACAGGACAGTGTCGACTACTCATTTCTGATTGGCTGATAACCAAATTTTGAAGTGCGTCAACTCACACAGGAGTGTCACATTTAATGGTTATCAAACCTGATAACCTAATTACCACCTGCTGTCACAATGACTTTACTACTTTTACTGATTGATGACTGCTGAAAAATGCTTTGCCATCCATACAGAGAGATGATTTACTCAGAGAACGTAAACATAATCACTGCTGGTAAGAAGTTGGACGGCGTTAACACCATGTTTCTCCCTCCCTACAGCTGGCATCCACCCTGCATCATACTTTGGGTTTTGCACCTTTAACACCACATGCCACACATACCTTAAATATCGTGGTGTCTGTAACTTGGCAGCTCAGTAAAGTAGCTTTGGCAGTACGTGCTACAGCTCATGCGTTGTTTGGTTTATGTGTCAGCTTTGAAACTACTTTGAAGTATGGAAGATAATTAGTGCCACATAGAATGATAGAATTCTGATGCTGCGTCCAAAATGGCATACAATGCATTACATACACTACATGTGCACTATCGTTCAACATACTTTCATGTACATAACCAAAAGTATATATCTTTTCGATGCACTGAGCTGTAATTTTCAGGTCACTTCCTGCAAGCCTCCTTACTGGATGACGACCATGCCGACGTCGCCTCAACAGGAAATTAAATTTTTTTAAAAAAATATATTACACCTGGCAAAGTGAATCTTATAGATCCACTTAAATTAAAATATTATTGTTGTTACAGAGCTGTCATGGTCACTGTCTGTTACGGATGCTCTCGTCTGCAGTATTGCATTGTGGGATATTAGTGTCCAGTGCTGTCATACTGTAATAGTATGCAGCTCACATACTATTGGTTTCATACTAATGTATTGGAGATGTTAAAAAATTTCACATACTGTTTTAAATGCCATGATAGTTTCGGACACAGCCTCAGTTTAAAGTCGGAATACTGACTTTATAAACTTTGGAACTCAAACTTAAACTTGGAACTCCAATTAGTTTTTCACATGTGGCCCTCATCCTCTTCAATAAGGAACGATTTGGTCAGACAGTGAGCCTTTGTTTTAGAGGAACATTTGGATGTGCTGGTTTAGTTAGTGGTTATTTTAATTCCAGCTTTGTCTATTTGGTCTTTGTTATCTTGGTTGGGATCTCAGAGTTCATCTTCCACTGAAAATTAGCTACACTTCTTAGCTGACGTGTCACTCTTTCAGTAAACAGTAATTATCAGTCTGTAAAATTAAGTGTGGTTAAATGTTAGTGATACAATTGTTGGTCATTGCTTGTAATGTTGCTCACCTTCTGTGTAGCGGTATTCAGCAGCAGTGAGAAGTTTGCGTCTGTGCTCGGGGTCTTTGACGTTCAGCTCTATCAGGTGTTTCTCTTGCAGGTGCAATAGGTCCTCCACCGTTTGGTAGCCATTTAGCAGCAAGGCAGAGGCGTACTCCTGCAACAACAAAGGAGTTTTCATTACCATCAACCCACACGGTGTACACATTCACCTTTCATCTCTTAAGTCTCCACATATCGAGTTTCAGATGTGCTGTAGAAGGTGTTTTCACATGTATGGAACAAGTTTCAAATTGGTGGCCACAGAGGTATTTTACCTTTACACATCTTTGAGGTTAAGATATGAAAGTACGCCAACGTTTCATGGTAGCTGAACTTTAACAAGATGTCTTTCAGGTGTTTTTACTTAATAAGCAAGAAGCCAAACAGAAGAGTGAACTTATGTTTTCCTGTTATGATTTTAACTATCTGAGGAACCTCTGACACGCGACCAGACTAAATCAAGTAAGCAATTCCAGGTGAGATCCCGTCCTCACCTCGAGGTTCAGTCGCTCCAGTAACTCCAGCAGTGTTTTAGGTCGAGGTCTCTTGCACAGCTTCTGTTGTCTAATTTTAGGTGCTTCCTCTTCTTCCTCTTTCTCCACCAAAACATCTACATAGATGAACTTGAAGTTGCCGACTTTGTTGTTTAGCAAGCCTGTCCAGATGCCCATTGGAGGCTTACTGATGATGTTGATGATGTCGCCAACCTAGGAAAAAATATAGCGATATAGAATCAGGATGATTTATTAACTTATTAATAATCATTGACAGCAGAGCCTTGTCACTTCACAGCATAGCACAGTGCTGTATCTTACCTTGAGTTTGAGGGAATCTGTGTCATACGGGCTGGGAACAAAGTCTGTGTGGACGCGAGCTCTGCCGCAGAACTGTCCCTGATAGGAGCCGTCCTCCTCCAGCCTCAGACTGTCTCGCTGACCTGAACCATTAGACTCACTTGTCACACCACCTGAACCCACAAACACAACACAACACAGTATGATTACACAGTTATGGCTGTCCTGACCTGCACTGGTTTGTGCACTGGGATCAGCTGACAGTTTGTGGAATTAGTTATATAACCCTGCAAATGTATTCACTATGTGGAGCTAAAACAACTGGGGCACTCTTTGCATTGTGTGCAGATACTTACTAGAGGAGCTCTGGCCACTGTAAAGACTCTCTAAGGAGTTGCTTGACTTTGCAGGGGTTTTCTCAGTTTGTGGGCTGCTCTCTGTCTCTGCCTCTGGGTCTTTGTCTGTGTCATCACCCTTGAAAAATAGAGGAGATATACAGTTTTGATTTAAAAAAATGTCATAGTATACAGACAGTTTTATAATCCCCAATCCATCACAGACTAAATGCATAAAAGTGTACAAACTCCAGCTAACTGATTGAGTAAGTCTACGTGAAAGTGAAAGACAGCAAAGAAACTAAAACAGCCTCAGGTAGAGAAGTAGGTTGTGAGAGTTGGAAAGCAACTCATGTTATCGCTCATCTGTATTACAGTAAAACAGAAAACTGCAAGGAAGCGCTTTTCGCTGTAGGTCAGAGCAAAGTGCGTCATTCAAATATTGCCAGCAAGAGCGTTGTATTTGAGGATGTGGGTTTATAAGTGATGAAAGTGATAAAGCTCTTGAGAAAAACATCACACGCTTGATGTTACTGAGGTCATTGTTGATGGGGTTTGGACTTTTACTGGATATGACAGGTATCAAGGGATTTTTTTAAATAAGTTGTGCTCACATATTGTTGATTGATGCACATAAACTAGTAATTTGTACCCTCTGAATGATCAAAAGCTTGTACCTGATGGTAATTAAATAAAAAGTGGGGTATGCTTGAGTATGTGTGTGCATATTTCCATATTTTCCAGTGACTCACCGTCTCCTCAGAAAAAGACTTTGCATGTTTTTTGCCCATTTTTCTGCGCATGGTCAGTGAGATCGCCTTCATCTTCTTCCCAAGTCCAGCTGATTTATGTGGGTCCAAAGTCTCACATTCCTCTGTGAGCTGTGTAAAGACAGCTGGTTTAGTACATATACAGTAGTCATAGGTGTAGATTTCGGGGGGGGGGGGTCATCAGCTACTTTCATGTTTTTAATGAGGGGGGAGTGTCCTCTGCACCCCCCTCCCATTAAAAACATGAAAGTAGCTGATGACTTTTTTTTGACAAAATGAAAGACATTTCTATTATGAACTGATGCAGGAAAGACAAAAACGAATGCATAAAAACCAGAATGCAGGAAATTTAGGGGTTGATGCTCAAGATTTCCTGGGAGAGGACCGCAAATCCCCACTTTCATATGTGTACCCGAGTTTTGAAATGACACCTACTGTACGCCCCTGACAGTGCTACTGTGACCTTGGCTCCTCATACTTCTTTCATCCACTAGTTTTTTGTCCAAACAATTCAGAAAATGCATCACTTCCTGTGCAGCAAAGGGCTTTCCCCAGCATGAACCTTGTTTCCAATGTCCCATTTTTTAATACAAAACACACCACAGCACTATGGCTGTGCAAAAGGGAAATTTCCTCAATGTAAATGTTTCTGTCAAACCACTTGGGTATGTCACATTCATGTCATGTCACACATATGTCACTAATCCTGCTACTGTGTGACATCTGTTTTGCTGTAATGCTCATAAAAATGAAGTAAAAACAAATCTACACACCATAGTTGTTCCATTCTCCTCTGGTTTGGCTGGTGACGAGTGATGTCTGAGACCCTCAAACCTGCCGAAGCTGGTAGAGCGCTGCGGGGAGGATTAGAGGACAAAGACAAAGGATGTCATACAGACAACTGGCACAAATGCTTTGTGTAGCGAGAGGTTTAACAGTATTACATAACATTAAGTAATTGCACATGTGAGTCCTCGTCCCAGATGTCTCAAGACTCAAAAACCCGCAGCATCTTCACTTTGTGACCCAAGTGGATTTCACTAATGAAATATGACTGAAGCTCTCCAGTGGATCTAACTGTCTGTATCTACTTTATATACTGTCTCTTAAAGGAAAGTGTTCCTAATTTTTTGCTCATAAAAGCAAAGGCACCTACACTCTATAGATGTCAGTATATGTGGCTAATATTCGGTCTGTTCTGAGAGTGCTTCGAAATGAGAGGTGGTAACATATGTGGTGCATTTGTGGTCATGTATTAAATCATGTAGCAACTCATATGGCAGCAGAGGGAATCGTGGTCTTTATACAGCTGCACCCAGTATTCAAAATGAACACATGAATTAAACTGCTGTGTCCTCACAGCGCCAGCAACATGTACTCACATTTGCGTTTTTCTGGCTCAGTTTTAATTCTTTCCTCCCCTTTTTTTCATTTTTTTCATAAAACTAAAAGTCATTATAATCTCTCCCAACTCCCCATCATCTCCAAAAATAATTATATAAATGAGTAATCCCTGGAAATCCTGGTTAAATATGAGCTGCGTACTCCTAGACAGCCCTCTGTGGATTGATTTAATGCAGCGTCGCCTGACAGGCCAACACTTTACTCCACTGTCTGCAAATGCAGCGGCAGAATTGAATTTTAAAGCAATGTTCTTCATCCTAATTGTATTATTGTGCTTTTATATTGTTTAGATTTTATTGCCATTGTTTGTCTATTTTACATTATACAGATTCACTTGGGAAATTTAGCTTATTGTATTTGAAGAAAAACATCACACTTCTGTCAACTAGTCATTCTTTACAAATAAAACTTTTCCATTTTCAGATTTTAGTGTTTATCTAAATGGTGTTATACATTAAATCAGCTACAACTCGTCTACACTTATAGCTGACCTGTACATAGGTAATTTCTGTAGTGACCATGTCAAAAGTGACATTTGAACATCTTCCCAATAAATATCACATCTTGCCTCACTGACTCATATTTGATTTACACCTACCTTTGGCTTCATGCTCTTTGTTTTGTCTGACACATTGGATGCCGTTCGCTGTAGCATTTTTTCCTGTTTTAAGGTTATTGTCAAATCTTAGTCCTTGCTCTTCTCTTGTCTTCCACCCGCTCTCCTGACAGTGAAGTGTTAACTAACACCGAGGCTGTCTGTCTGATGGGCTGGCTGGCCCACTTCCTTACAACACACAGGATGTGAGGCAATTGACACAGTGTCTCTCTTCACAGTATCGCTTTGAAAGGGGAAAAATACAAGTGCTTGAGTTTGCATTTAGTGGCCCGCTCGACGAAAACATTGAGAACCACTTCCAGGAACAACTGCGTTTAGGTTTTATAATTGTGGTATTTGTTTTTCATGAGATCTGAGATATTCTGGGGAGGATGAGCTTCTGTTGAATCTGCCTACTGTGTTGCATTACTGTGGTTGATCTGCTCAGAGTTGGGCTGTAATGTCAGCAAAGTATAACTCAGTTAAAAACCACTGGAGTGAGTTATGGCTGACATCCACAAACTATAAAATTATTCTATTAAACTTAATTTCATTAATAAAATGGACGACATGAAAATGAAAAAATGCTTGAATATTCCTCAAAAAATCCTTTTAATAGCAATGGGGAACTTGATTTTGGTAAATGATGCTGGAGCAACTATTCTATGTGGTCATTTCTTAATGTGGGGTGAATTCTTTTGAGGAAGTGCTGACGTATGACAGAGGAACAGCTGAAAGTGGCAACTCAGTTGTGTCGAAACACTTTCCTGTTCATCTCTGCTCTCAGTATGGAAGTGAATATATTTTATTTTACGTCTTAGAAGCAACAAGGCGTGACAATGAGATGTGTCTACAGCAGATCATTGTATTTGGCAAAGGTTGAAAATCAGTAATAACCACCAGTAACCTTCTAACAAAACACAGCCTCCCCCGCTGGATCCAAGAATCAGTTTGACTCCACAGCATCCCACATTACTGTTAGTCATAGCTGTGGTGCAGCCATGTGGGGATATGCCGCTGTGTTTACATTGTTGGGGGGGTTTCAATCGGTCAGTTGCAGAAAAGGGAATTCTACAGACAAAACCGTTGCCTAATCCCACTGCCTGCAATCAGCCGTAAACTCCTGTTAATCCAGATTAAGGCTTCTAATCTATTACTTCAGAGGCTCTTGACTCCCTGGAGAGGCAGTTGTTCTTCTGGAGAGTTCAAAATTAGACATCTACCATTTTAAAAAAGTCACCTGATCTTTGCTGAAATATTTTAAAGCACTGTTAGGGAAGATCCTCTGAATTTTGGCCAGAATCATTCATTTGATTCATTTTTAAATACATTTTTGACATGATTTTCTAAAATACAACATAGTAAGTTGTAAAATTATGGTATGTTTAGAATCTTATACCATTGAAAAATGAGCATATGGTACGGGCCAAAAGGTACATTTAAAAGGGAGCAGAGAAAATGGACTTGTACGACTGGTAGAAGAGCTACGAGAATTCCAATATGTTATTACCATGGCTTAGAAAAGTGCAATCAATATTTGTGAATATAAGATACACTCTCTTAAAGCCAGAAACCAGAAGAGTAAAGACGAGAATACACCAGCAACAACACTGTGCGTCAAAACAGCTGCCACTCATTATTTTCAATGTACAACACCACACTGGTGGCACTTTAGCATGCAGCCCAGTGTCACTCCAAAGTCGTCAACATCTGGCATTTGGGCAGTGACTTGCAGCGTCAGATGCCAAAGAAAAAAGCTGTCCTTTGACATGAACAAAACCGAAAGTTAAGGCAGCAAAAGTTTGAGTAGGGTGGGTGTAACTGGTGGTGGATGCGTCTAACAAGGACAGACGTTCACCTGGGAGAGTGTTGTGTTTACCTTGTAAGATTCTAAAGCCCAAACCCTGCTCTTTGTCCCTAAACCTAACCATGTGTATTTGTTATTGAAGGAAAAAAGCATTGCGGTGTTGTACCGACGTAGTGCGTTTATTTTGAAAGAGACTGTACGTAAACATTAAATTTCCTGTGAAAACGGAAGTGTATTTTGAAAGAAGACAATGCATGTAACAGGCATGTCATATTTGGACGTGGAAAGTCCATGACCAAACGTTGATATGTGACGAGGTCGGAGTGAGAGCATGTTGTGGCATGAGACTTTACACCACTGCCCTATTTACAGCCTCATCACCCCTGAATTACATTTTTCCCCCATACATTCTCTGCTTGTACACACTGGCCCCCATAGCAGCTCGACACCTCCCCTCACCGTGTATGTATAAATAAAAACTCTAGCTGACTCTCATGTGTGTCAAAAAAAAGATGAGTAAAGACTTGTTGTTGAGAGTCAAGAAATACCCCAAGCTATATGACCAACAATCCCGACAATGGCAAAAAGATATTGCCTGGCAGGCTGTAGCTCTAAAAATTGTCTTGTCTCTTTGGTGACAATTCAAGTTTAATAAGTGGGTGTCCACGCATGATTTTGGGCTAATACATAGCTGGAAGGAATACAGATCTTTTAGTAAAAGTAGTGATATCTTTGTGTGGTCTTCTGTTGAAATGCTGCAGCACAACGTGTCCTGTTTGTGCTAGAGGTGACACTTGATGCGCATCATATAACAAGTAAATTAAGGCTATAAAATGGGGATTTTGCAACATGGTGGACAACTGTGTGTGCCAGTCAGTGGGCTCACATTCAGTGGCACAGCTTGAGATTGGTGTATGGGCGGGAAACTTGATACCAGGGAGGTCGCTACTACGCAGACTCCGAATGAGCAAGACACAGCACTCATATTTTAGCTTCACTTCTGACCAGCAGGGGTAAGTGGAGATGTGTCATCCATTTTTATATACAGTCTATGTTTTATACCCAAACAGCTTAATTCTATTGTAATATTCTTAGATGTTAAGCAGAAAATGCACTGTTGTACTCAGATCATCCCCCTGGATGCTCTCAATGTCATCTAGAACATCTTTCACCATTCATTGTCTATGGAGTGGCTACAGACTTTATAACTGATGACATCACAAATTTGAGTTTCAGCATTCTAGGTTTTGGATTAGGGAAAGCTGCTCATATTTACTAATAGTTTTGGACTGTCTTAGAACATAGGAATAACATGTATTAAGTTATACAGGCTTGCTCTATGTAAGTTTCCCTTTAAAGAGGGAGTGCAAAGAGAGGTCTTAACCTCTACACCATATCCTCTATAATCTTAAGAGGCTTCATGTCCACTGAAATGACATATTACCTCTAAGAATCAATGACACTACAGATCCATAGGGATTTTGTAATCTCTACACCAGATCATCCGTTCATCGTAGATAATTTTCTCCCAAGTGATGTTAAGCTTTAAGTTCTTTGTGTCACGCCGGCTCACACTGCACGTGCTCTCTGGGCATCAGCAGAGGTCTTACGCAGAGAGATGTCAAGTACACGCAAAGACATTGACCTTTGAGGTCAATCTGCTCTATTGTGGTATTAGCATTGCGTGACCATTGAACTTGATGTATTGAACAGCAACTAGGCCAAATGAAAGAATCCCAATGGGAGAGACTAAGATTCATTTAGAAATTAAATACCAACTGGTTCCTCAAAATTTGTCCTTCAGATGACCCCAAAACATAGACCTGCCACTGAGTCTGTATGTTTAAGAGGTTAAATTATGATACCAATCTGCTGTGGTGCCATTCAGGCACACTGCATCAGTATATGAGTGCAACAAGTGCATCACAAGAAAAGGTGAGGCTACTTTAAGCTTCATTAGAGCTGCTTGGTGACTCGCACTGTGAAACTGAAGTTATTATAAGCAGTTCTGAGGTGTAAATGTGCATCAGTTTCTTTATAGCAGTGACTCAGAGCATGCTCAGATCACTTTCAAGGACTAACTACTGGTTTCAAAAGCACAGAACGACCAGCAGAAACTCACATTTGGTTCTGATAGATCCACATCTGTGATAGATCGCGGCACCTTTGGGGGAATCTGGGGTTTACAGTCCTTTGTCAAGCTGTCATTGGGGGCCGGCACCTGCTGCTGTCTCCCCTCCCACTCCTTAGCAGGGGACGTGCTGAAGTCATGGGAGTACGCGCGATACTCTGTGAGCGGCCTGCGGCAGGTGTGCTGGATGTTCCCCCAGGCGGGACTGCTGTCACCTGGGTTGCTCCAGCGCTGGTGGTGGGTGTGGGTGGGCGTCGCTCCACCAGGGAGGGTGGCTACGTCTGTGAATCGGCCCGGGGTTGTGTTCTCCTGAGCAGGGAGGGTGGAGGCTTTGCCCAGGTAAGGTCTCCTGTCTGATCTGTATGGCACATCCAGATAGTGGGGTCCCATGGGTGGGCTCATAGCGCATGATGGGGGGTGCACTGAGAGAGGAGATGGAAGAAAATGTAAATGAAAAACCGACCGGATGTTGATTCTTAAACTGGAATCAGACTTCTGCATCATGTCGGTGTTGCTGCAGCAAACCCATTCATTACAACAGTGCAGAGTGATTCATAGTTCTGCATATGCCTTCCCTACTAAGTGTCCTAACACCACCACAAAACTACTTGGCAGGTTTATGCAGTCACGCCAAGAAATACTGCCATGTCTCTTTCAACATTTAATCACAACACACCAACAATAGAGACAGTAAAGAAATATATTACTATTAAATGAAGGAGACCATCTGTGAGACCACTCAACAGATTGAAGCAGCACCGGAAAGAGAGTAGGAGAGAATATATAGGTGGCTGAACAGACCAGTTAGACTTCTTGTGGTTTGCCTTTTGCCTCTGTAACCCCTCTGTGTATTCTGAACAGATGCAGTCCTCTGCGTACCTATACTGCAGGGACTCCACAGGCACCTACACTGAAGCTGTTGCAACACTTAAAAGCAGAAGTATAATTCATAATTCATCAGAGCAAAAAAGTCATGAACTAGAGTTGCTTCATTCTGACAAATGCTGCATGAGCCTGTTCCTCTACTGTAAGCACGAGTCCTGTTTAGTCACTGAGTCATACAGGCACAAGAGAGGTCAGACAGGACAGTTAAATCTAAGGCTTAGGGAGACAGTAGCTGTCGTCATAGGAAGCTGTCTCACCTGTGGAGTTGTGACTTTTCTTTGACCCCTCCTTCCCACTCTTTCCACCTGGTTTCTTCCCAGTTTTTTGGTTTCTTTTCACAGCAGGCTTGGACTCTGTCGCCACCCCGTTAACATGGACATTCTGGAAAGATGACACATACAGTCCATATGAGTAGGCCTACTTCAAGTCCGACAGTTGCTCAAAAAACAATTCACAAATATGAAAAAAAAGAGTGTCATCTCCGTGCTCTCATGTAGCACAGCTCTGATTTCGAGGCATAGCAATTTCAGTACAGACATTCATGGTCCCTAGAGGATGAGTCCTACTGACTTTGGTGAACCTTTGAGTTGTTGTCTAGCCCTACCATGAGGCTGACATTTTTGTTTCTTAGTGAAATGTCTCAACATCTATCGGATGGACTATTGATGCCATAAAATTTGGTATAGATGTCCACATTCCCCAAAGGTTTGGTGATCCCTTAACATATCTATCATCAGGTCTGAAGTTTGATATGTCCACTACTTTAGTTTATAACCAAGCAGTCAACCTTGGGTTCGAAAGAATTATAGATATGAGTGGTAAAATACAATTCTGAAATTGATGAAAAGGTCTTAATTAAAAGACCTTAAAATTGCTTTCTATCTGAAAACATTCTGTCGTGTATTGGCCACCATTTATTTGAGCGAACCCATAAAGCTCTGTCAAGCCAAGCCTGTCGAAAAGCACCTGAACAGACACCATCTTTTATTTCTAGTACCGTCTGTAAACCTCTAAACATCACAGCTCAAGTTTCATTGTATGTGCATAGCTCCTTTGGGGTCAAACACCGTGTCCCAGCATTTATTTAATAGCCTTGGTGAACTATATACTTGCTTGACGGGTTAACATGAGCACTACAGCAACAAATTGTAGCCTCGCTGAGCCACTACCAAGGCTGTTTTTTCCTGGGGGAGGGGGGATGTTATAAAAAGGGAAGATAGACACAACATCTTCTGCCACTTGTCATTTGGGTCACTGGTCACTTTAGCTGCAAAGCCACATTGTGCGGCACTGAGAGCTGCTCCTGATCCACTACTGGCAAGCTCTGTTTTGTTTGCTTCTCACTATGATGGGCATTAGTCAGAATGGGCACTGGGTGACCTGGCATGAGGCCTCTAAGCCCTCCCCACCCAAAACACACACACACACACACGCACACACATACAAACAGTCCTCCTCTCTTGTTTTCACATCTCTCTCTGCCATGTGGACCAGAGATTACACAGAGGGCACTACCCTCTTTGGACCATCTGCACTGTATTAAAACCCAATCAGCATTTGCGTTAAATGATTGTGCCATTTAGGCCACCAGAGGCTCTATGGATGTCACAAGGAGGTGGCAGCTTGAAACTCCTAAGTTGACACAAAAAGGGCCATGTGTGCCATGTGACCATGAGTCTGCACCAAACCTGCTCACGTCTCCTGCAGCAACAGGTCTGTTTCGCTGCAGCTCAAACTTCAGTTCGACACAGATGCATCAGACAATGGTTATATGTAGTGCTGTATAACTAAAAGTACTGTGGATGTATAAAGGAGTGTGAGCATGTGCGTTAACAGAAGGACAAAAGGAGCTAATGCTCTTTGTGGCTGCTGGCCAGGCCCTCATAACTGCCGACCTATTAACTGTTCCATTCAGCTCTTAATTATATTTCTGTCTTACCCACACCTGCGCCATTAATAACAAGTGCACAGAGCATTTAAATATTTGTTAAAATGTAACATAACATTGAGCTTCTTATTATTACCTGGTTTGAGTGTGGTTTCTCCTTTTTCTTTGTGCCACAATGATGAGCTCCTTTCCCTTCTTTGGTTTCTGTTCTGTGTTTTGTCTTCCTCATCTCTAGAGGGACACAAAATATAGCAATAAATCATCAGGTTAGTGAAACACTGGAAAACCATTGGAAAAACCAGCAAGAGGTTACACAGGACACTGATTTATTCATGTATTTCCTCTACGTCTAGGAATTAAAGGACAGGTTCACAAATTTTAAGTCTGTTTTAAAACAATAATTTGGTGTCAATATAAACATTTAAACAGGTTTTGCATGCTGTAGTTACTCCTTCTGTTCATACTGGACATTAAACAATCCTTTATTAATGTACCTTAGTGGAGGTGACGGGGGACAAAATCCACAGTCCTCATTTTGTACAAATATGAACTTATTCTTTAAAACTTCACTGTAACTGATCAGAGTTGTGTGATTTGTTGTGAAATGTCACCACCTTTAGAATTTTTACTCCACAGTGCAAATCCCAGCAGTTAGAAAAGGCCTACCGCTGCTTTGTTTTAATATCATGTATGATCAGTGCAGGCCTGGACACATGCATTTTTGGTGAACTGGTTGAAAAACCCAGCTCATGTCTTCAGACGTCATGCTGAGAGTCCAAATGAGCGTTGGCATATAGATGAGCTTAACCTATTTATTTCCTATTTACCTTCATTGTGATTGTTGGCGATGTGGACTAAATCTTCTCGGCTCTTGGCGGGCTGCCAAACTGTAGTATTACAGTCGGGGTTATCTGCCATGAAGGGAGACAAATCACAAACAGTGAGGATTTTAAGCAAAAGGTCGCAGGGGGAGGCCACAGAGACACTGAATGAAATTGTTTTCTGAGTCACGGACAGTAAGGCTTGTAAGCTTCAAAGCTTTTAATAATTTTAATGCAGTCTTCCTTAAGTTTTATGATACAGGTGAATATAAATGTCATGGCCAGTATGTTCAGTTACAGTTAAAAACTAATTATACAATGCAAGTGATAAAATTAATCCAGCATTTAAGCTACAGTTGGTGACTTTAGTTAAATAAAATAAAATAAATAATAATCAAATTTGGTGAAATCATCACTTGCCTTGTAGTGCTTCTAATGGCTTTATCATAAGTGACCGAAAACAACCAATAGGAGCCAAGGAGTCCCTAACGCAGCTGTCAATCTTGTTAATTATAGCTCATAAACTGCCAACCCGTCTCACTTCGAAGTCCTCAAAATCCAGTGCCTTCGCAGTGACTTGCAGCGTCAGACACTGACGAAAAAAGCCGTCCTTTAACGGCCGATCGCCATTATAGTTTACCGGCACTCAACAGTGCTAGGAGGAAACGCGGTGGGACAAGAACGAAAGTTAAGGTGGCCCAGAACGTCAACAACCAACACACCCAGGGTACCTTTCACGTCGTATCTGAACGTGGAAGTGTCCACAACCAAACGTTGATATGTGATGAGGTCGGAGCGAGAATGTGTTGGAGCTGTGGTCAAACTACATTGCCTATTTCTTAGTTCAAATGTTTTCAGATACATATTTTAGTGTACTGTTTAGCTGTAAATTGAGAAGGTTGGTCCAGCTGATAGGCAGTGCTTGGCGCTTTGGTAGACTGTATCCAACATGGCAGCTGGGTAAACTTTCTTTCTCATTTTACAGCTAAACAGTACACTAAAATATGTTTCTGGAAACATTTGATGAAATAGCCAGTGCAGTAACAAAATCTGGATTCAGATGTGACCACCGCTGCCTCGTTTAACAGTTACAGTTAAGTCAAGTGGCTGACATGATTGACAGCTGTGTCAGACACTCCTCAGCTCTGATTGGTTGTTTACAGTGCGCCACAACCAATTCTAGCAAATGCCATTAGAAGCATTAGGAACAAGAGGAGGAGGGACATGACTCATTTCACAGACTGTCTGGCTCATGTCTGTCAGAATATAATGACAGCTTCAGCAAATATGACACAACATTATTTTCTTAAAGCTACCAACTGTAGCCTTAATGAAACAAAGGAAATTGTTTGCACTCACCAAGCGTTTCATTGTCTGATGCAGATTTGGATATGTGTGTTCTGAGGGTAAAATTGACAAAGAAATATCACATTACACAGTTGCCTCTGATTAGCCCCTAAGTCTGACAACAAACCACAACAACCCAACTGATATAATTGTTCTTCCTAATTTACAGTGACAGCAAAATATAACAAAGACAACCACAGAGCACAGAGAATTGCACAGCACCACAGTAAAAACTGATATCTCATTGTGAGAAAGTAGACTGATACTGTGCAGAGGTACTCTGCGTGATCTCCTCTTCCTACAGGCCGAGAGACTGCACTGTGACCATATAGCTGTGTTTCTTTTAAAGTAAAGCTGGGGGTAAAGGTGTTGTAGCGATAGGGGACTCTAAGTAGGTGGGCCTTGAATCCGCTTAGTCCAACTAGCCCAAAGCTATAATCTGCCTTCTGCTTTCCCAACAGTCCGCAGGACACTGATTCTCAAAAAACAATCACTACCAGTCAAACTAAACAATACATACAAAGCTTGTTTTTCAATTGCATCTAATGGGCTGCCAATCCCTCTTCTTAAGACACAGCCCTGTATAGACCAGACCAAATAAACTAAAGATAAGAGGAGGTGAGGAGCGCTTCTGAAGCCTGTCTGCTCTGCTGCAGGAAGGATTTACAGTATTAACCCTCAGTGAAAATAAACAGGGAGCCTTTCAAGCCATGTTATTACTCTATGTGAAAGCCCTTTCACTTGCATGGCAGATCTTCTCTGCACGCACATCCAACAAAAGGAAATAGAAAGAAGGTTATACAGTAGAAGCCTGTATTCCTGGCAGGATTACATTGTTTTTAATTAAATTGTATCGTCTATTTACAGCAGAATAACATGGTTAGTAAAGGAGCAAATGACACAATATAAAACAAATTTACCTGTGAGCTAAAATCAATGTGATTTGATGATGGATGTTTATGTCTAACTTTGTGGTGAGCTCACCTTCTTTTCTTTTTATTAGAGTTGGTCCCCGGCACTGGAGGCATCTCCTGAAAGAAAACAGACATTAATAAACAATCCATATAAAAAATATGCTGTTTTCTGTCACATTCAAATAGATCTGATAAATAAATCATTACTCAGTGACATTTAATTTACATGAAAAGCTTGAATCCAAAATTTTGAATTGCCCTGCTTCAGCCGCAGCAGCTGTCAACTGGCCCTGTTCATCATTTCATAATCAGCTTTATTTTGCAGGTTCAATCTGGTGGGTGGAAGTCCAAAAGTCCCAATTCCTCAGAGAAGTGACCCCGTACAATCTGGTCATGATTGTTCACATGGCTCCACCGTTCACAATCTGTAAGACGTGCATGTGTGTGGATGCACAGTATGCATCCCTCTCACCATAGAAATAGATCTCCCAGAGCCTCGCCACTTTGTGCTGTCATCCAGCAGGACCGCTGGGCTGCAGGAGCGGCTGCAGGATCGGCTGCATGTGCGGCTGGAGGAGCGGCTGGGGATGGGCGGCGGTGGGCCATCACTTGAGCTCTGCACTGCCTCATACAGGCTGTCCATGGACCCCTCCTGATGCCATGTGGACAGACAGACAGACAGACGTGCAGCTGTTAGACAGTTGAACTTTGGCAGCATTTTTGACATATGAATTGATTTCATCTATCCTGTTGGATTAAGTCTGATTAGTACTTTTGATGAAGCACATAGTGTGCACATATCATGCAGGATTTTTAGGTTACACACTTTGAAATGCCATGCAACACATCAGTTTCAAGTTTAGAAAGCCTAAAACTCAGAAAACGTAAAGAAATTTGCAAGACAACCCATATAAATCTTTGTTGCATTGCAAACAGATGCAAAGCAACACAATTAGAGTCATGAGGATTTAATATGAATGTAGGGATATGCTGCCAATGCTGTGCCAAAGCTCTTTTAAAATTTGCTTGTCAACCATGGATGTAGGGGAGGATTGAAATTCCTCAGCACAGATTTCAGTGTGGATTAAAATGTGTGCAGCTTGTTTGGATTCCTTCTAGGAATGTATAACCAATTTCTCGTCTTGTCTGTATGGTTACATCTTATCACTTTACTAGGCAGACTGACATTTTTGGGAGCAACGCAGAAAGGTGTTTTGATTGATAAGATCCACCTCTTTAGGTTTTAACTCTCATAATATGTCCATGTAATCTGCATTGTTTTCAGTTTTGCCTGAATTTATAGAAACTAAAAGATCTGACACACAGAAATACTCACATTCATGGATGTAATCAGTTTTCCTGTCTCTTTGTGTGTATGTTAATGTCACCCACTTACGTTGTTTACAGTATCATTTACTCTTCTTTGTGTTCTTACTACATGATTTAATTTTTTTTTTTTAAATATTTTATGACTAAGTTTAAGTTTGTACAACATGCCATCGTACACGTGATGTGGACTAACAGCAACAGGGAGGACAATCGGTGCAATCACAGTTCAAGCCTCTGTTTGCTTGTCAATAATCCTGATTATTGGTCAACATCTCCAACATCTGTTCAAAGAGAATAGTCTGTATACATGCCCCATGTGCCCACGTGCAGGCTGACAGCTGCAGCAGCATCTGAGGGACCATATGTGCGAGTGGGGCATGTGCGTATGCTGCCACCACACACTTGTCTTTACCCTGGTAACTTCACTAAGCAGTACTTTCTTTCTGCTTTCTCCTCTAGTGTCATAAACGCATAAACTAATACAGAAACTACAGCGTTAAAGTACACAAACGTTACAGTACTATTGTATCACACCCTTGTTGCATAGTAAATGGATGGTAAATACAATGAAAAGCAGATGAATTCAGAGTTTTTTTTTACATTTTGAGATAGTTTAGATTTGGATTGTGCAAAAGGAGCAACTCAATATCAGGATATTTCTAATAATTTGCAGTCAATGGGTTATTGATTGGGCTACAAGCAAGAAATATAATATGAGGCTGAAACACTGTTATAACAACCTTGTACATATTTTCCAACACTTGACAGCTTTCACAGCATGCCATGATTTACAGCTATCTCATGTATTGAAAAAGTTTTCTTTCCCCTCAGCTACTCACACACAGCTTGTTAGATAGATGCAGATATTTAAAATGAGTCTCTCTTACCAGCGAGAAGCAGAAAAGGTTCATGTTGGCTGAGAGGTCTCCTGTTCGTGTCGGTGCGTCTAATGGAGGTGAAACAGCAATCTGAGTGACAGCCAGAGACTGAGAGACACAACAGCTCAGCGTGAGCCCAGCCTGGGTCGCCTGCTGTCTTCTCAGATTAATACCACAGTGAAATCCCTCCACTAATCCAATAGATGGACCACCATTATTTCTACCAGCTGAAGCAGGACTCACTCTTGACAACAGACCCACCATTGGTCGAGCAACAGTGTGAGTCTCTGTTTTGAATCTGATTTATTTTTGTTTTTAGCAGGGAAGCTTGGTGCGGCAGCCATGCTCTTTTTAAGCTACACACGGTGGTGTATTATATCCTTTACTTATTGTAACCTTTATTTAAGGTACCAGACCAATAATGCAAAAATACTCCATAATCAATCACAGTCAAAATGTCAATATGCATCAAAACAAAAATATTGTGAAAATATATCCCATGATTATTATTTGACATATATGACATTATTAGATTGTTAATACTGGTGCATTAATGGATTTAACTGGTGTAGATGGTGGAATTAGAATTTGGAAAAAAAAAAATGCTCATACCCACAAATACTGTTTTTACTACTTGATATACTAGTAGTTTAATCCAGTGGGGTAAGAAATAATAATAACTAATAATTTTGTGATACAAAAACTTTAATGTAATCATTGTTTGGACTGAGAGGCCCTTTTAGACACTGCTTTTGTGTAGAGCTAACCATGCTGATTTACTCTTTAAATGTATTTAATGAACGTTTCAAGTGTTTTTCATGTGAAACATAGGCCTATTATGATGATTTCCTCTGAAAAATGTAGAATAAAAGGTAGAAAGTAACATAAAATTGACTTACTCAAATTAAATGGAAATAGTAAATTATAAATACCTCTCAGGTGCACTACTGGAGTCAGGTAGGGAACACTTGGACTGCAGGGCTGCCAACTTTTGACTTCAGCTTAGAGTGAGATTTGCTCAAAAACATGTAATTTAAAACAAATTTCCTGCATTTCTACACCACCTAACCTCTTGGATTAAGACAAGAAAGAGCAACCATGTATAATGTTAACCAAAAATGTAAAATTATATTACTAGATTTCAGCATTGAGGTAGTTACATACATAATCCAGACTAAAATCCATGGCCCCGAGTGCCTGTCGCTAGTGCGCATCTTAATGTGTCGGGGAGTGAGGTTTTACGCACAGCACTGTACCTGCTGGCTACCGCTACACATAGGCATGCCAACCTAAAAATCTATTTTTGGGAATCGTGAGAAAGCGACAGAGACACAGAGCATTCCCGTAACCATAGTAACTCACTCACTCCTGCCTGTGTGCGCACGGCATGAGAGGAGGAAGAGACGCTGACTGAGACTACTCGGAGCAGCATGCATGGGAATAAATTACAATATAATAGATATCTGTATATTTCTTGCTTTCCCCCTGATGACCCGAATAACACAGTTCTTCTGCTGCTGCTGCTGCTGCTGCTGCGTTTTGCTGTTGTCTTGTCTGTCCTTGCGCTGTCACTATCCTCTTTTCACGCCACGACGTTATCAGTTATGAATTTAGTTTTCACTGCGTGAGAAAATGGACATGTGGCGTGAGAGCGTGTGAAAAGTGTCAGTTGCGTGAGTCTCACGGTCAATGCGTGAGAGTTGGCAGCACTGTGGACTGTGAATTTCATGTAAAAAGTTAGCTAGTGCAAATAACCGGATGCAGATTTTTCATACATCCGGTTCCCGCTCGCGATCTGCAAAATGGGGCAGTGTCCAAAATCACTAACTACTCACTACATAGTCCACTATACAGTGAGCTCGCCATTTTGTAGTGCTGTCCGAATACAATGCACCGTGAAAAGTAGCGTACAACCGATTGTAATTCACTAAGCAATATATCCCATCATGCATTACGCGAAAGGAACAGTGGAGTGGAGAGAGAGCAGCAGCAGTGCTGTAAGCTGTCATATATGTTTAACTTAATGTGAAGTTTGTGTACCAGTTTCTTTGCCAAATAATTAACTGTCAGTTCGATGTCGTTGGTCCCCGAAGAGATAAAAATAAATCGGCAAATGATCTCTTAACAGTCACTGTACAGAGTACGGCTAATAACGCTAGCTAATGTTAGCAAGCTAGGTCGCAGCCATAGGGTTGGGTTGTACGCTACTTTTCACGGTGCATTGTGGGATACGTTGAGTCCACTATATAGGGTATAATAATTCATTCTATACATTCGTTAGTTCTTTATTTTCTGGTCATTTGAAGGTCACAGAAACAAAAATGTAATATCAAAATGTCTGCTCTCTTGACCTGCACTCATCTAAAACATCTGGAGGTTGTTAGCAGTTAGATGGAGATACTGGAAATATGCCACATGGTTAATAGACAAAGGAATCAGCTACATTTTGATTTGAAACTCTGTGATGATTGATGGTAGCTGGCTAATAAAAATGCTGTCTTTATGGAGATAGATTAGTTTAAGCATTACTTGTGTGAGCAGTTTGACTGCTGTATATGAATCTGTAAATATAAACACCTTCCACAAATACAAAAAAAGAGTTGTATAAATATATTTTGCTAACGTTAATGTAACAAATCGGCAAATACACACCCAAACTCCCAAAATTAAAAACAAAAAAGATGTGCATAAAATGCCAATTGGCAAGCATAGAATTAAGATTCACAAATAAAAATTTGAAAATATTCACCTTTTTTTTTATTTATTTGTAAATTGATCAAATAAATTCCCAGATTTTTTTATTTGTAGAATTTGTGTATTTGCAGCTGCGTTTTATATTTGCAAAACTGTTTTATGAGTTCACATTTTTTGTATTTAGGGATGGCCTTTTATATTTACAGATTAAACATTAACACAAAACAAAACAAAATAATCTGTATTGATTTTGATATTAAAACAACAAAACAGACTGAGCATGAGGTAAACCTATTCTCGCATTGTCAGTCACAGCTATTTCCTGTGTGGGCAGCAGATGACTTTCCCCCGTGTTCTGAATGTGGCTTTGTGCAACATAACAGACTTCCTCAGAAATCAAAACAATTCCCCTAGATGATGGAAAGCTGTTACATCTTTGGTTTGGGGCGAGTCCCCCAAAAGTGATGTAACAAATTAAAATGTTTTGCATGCAGTGATTTTATTTATTTATTTTAATCTGAAGACATTTAGCTCGTAATCACTAGGTCAATCTGTGTATCGTTTGGGCAAATTACAATATGTGTGTATTAACGAGCAGCACATTAAGTGCAAAGGTTGCGATCTAGTAATCCACCACCACCAATCATCAACGTCTGTTATCTGAGCTGCTCTAATGTAAAGACAGAACAGCCGGAGAGATTAACACTTATGACCTATATTTTTATGCTGATGTGACACTATGATTTGCTATAAGTGGAATGATCTGTGACGCTGTGAAGTGTTTTGAATCACTGCAGTTCATTCAGTTTAGTCTGTTCATTGTTGTATAATAAGAGTGTTCATGACCTGAATGACTGTGTGTTATTTGAGCAACAGGAAACAACAGGAAACACATTTAAATGGAACACGGAGTCCCGTGAAGGAGTTTTAATGATCACAGAAATATCAGGAATAAATAAATTCATAATCACTTTCCCATTAAGGTCAGCCCACTTTGCATGGTTAAAGAGTCTTTATAAAGTGGCCCAATTAATGAGCATATTCCCAGATACCTCCTCTGTAGTAAATATCTAATTGTGCACTATCCTGAGCTCCATGTCGAGCCATCAGTCTCTTTTGATTCTGGGCATGGATCCAGACTGCCAGGTACTGTGCGTGACCGTAACAGGGTGTGACATGGCATCTTTTTCTCTGAAAACAGGTTGGAGTAAGTGAATGCTGCCAGGCAAGATTCACACGCCAGCCACAGGTACGTGCAACATGTTTGTGTACGACTCATGGGGGAAATTCATCAGTGTGTTTTATTGTCGTAAAGAGGAACAATCGAAAATTTGATCTTAAGTGCTGTATTGTAGGCAAGTCCAGCTCAAGTAAGTCCAGTTGTCTACAATATAGCACTTAAGATAATCGTGACCTGGAACAATTGAAAATTTGGCTCAGTGATGAAAAGGTAATGATAAATAAAAGATCTAACATGCCTTCAGCGCTGAGTAAGGTTGGGTGTTTGTTTATGCATCGCTCATTAGCTTGCATAAATGCACATAAATGTGGGTTAGTGTAAGGCCGCCAGGATGATTGATCACATGGTTCCCACTTTCAATCCATCTTGGCCCCTTAAACCCACTTGAGTTGACACAGCTGGACTTATAAGGAGCAAGCAGCAACCTCCAGGGCTGAAAAATGGAGTTGCTACAAAATGCAGTTCCTCCAATGGCCATTTAAGTCTTGCTGGTCAATCCCCACACACCTCATGTTAAAATGTCCAACTTTACAGCAGAAATAAACATGTTCACAGCCTGGTACAAAAGACGGTTCTGGTCTGGATACCGACTTTTCCCATTCAGCATGATGTGAATCTTTATAGAACCCACTCTTTTAAATTTCATTGAGGCTTAAAGTTACACATAATTCAGGGCCGTCTTGAGTGACAAATGTGGTTGTCTGCAAGGCATTGCAACAGTCTGTGAATCACATCCACCCTGTGCTCCTTCACAGCCCCACCCTCTCCTCCAAATTTGGTCACGATGACGGCCAAATTGCCAAACTCAAGTTTACTGTCAGTTGACAAACAACGGGTGACGTCATTTTAATAGACCAGAGCTATCTACCTAGACTTTAGCCTGACTGGTCCAAATGCCAGTTTGTTCAGTGTGTGTCATAACATGGGTGTTTCAACTTGGATAATTGGCGTACTGCAAATTATTTACCGGTTTAATGTACCCCTTGATGAATAACACTTGTACTAGGCAACTAACTGTTGACAAACATGTTGACTGCCTTTTCGTCTTCCTATATTACTTTTTTAAATATTTTAAAACCTGCATTGTGTACGTTTCTATGTACATTACCTCCAAACAACTGTCAATCAGTTGAACGGCGTGATGACCCAATAGAAAGTCATGAGGAAGTCAGCACATGTGAGCCACACTTCGTTTTTGAACCTGTGTGGGAATCACATGGGCAGGCTGCCTGTGAAAAACTGAATGAGCCTTTTAATTAAATCTTTACACAAGAGACTTTTCATTCAGTCTCACCTATAACAAAAGACAGCTGAAACAAATTCATGGGATCAATTAACAGATTTATTCTTTTTGCATTGCAAACAGACAAGGGAGTCCAACTTTACATGGCAACAGACACAGAGAGCGACCCACATAGCAGTAGGCTGTTGCAGTGACCCACTAAGTGACATCAGGAAGGGATTAAGAGTGTGTTTGTGTGCGTGTGGTCGCCCCGCCTCCAGCTGTAAAAAAAAAAAAAAAAAAAAAGGCTGTGACCACCAGTGTGTTGCACAGTTTGAGAAAGACTGTCATACTGTAATTCAATATTGTAGATTTCATTGAAAATAAAAGCAAGACAAATCAAAGACAGGGTAGTCACATTAAAATCATCTTCCGTCAGATTCACATATGAGTGATTACCTTCTTATGTGCTGTTTGCAGGCACTGGATCCTGAGGGTCGCAAAGGTCGGTACTGCAGCAGGGATCCCCAGTGTTACACAGGTCCTCACAAGTTCGAGATATGGTCTCGCCTGAAAATCAAACAAACAAAAAACAAACTGCAATGACTGAACCATCCCTCTGTCACTGTGGTATGTATTATGGCTGAACACACATTTTGAAACATGTACATAAGAGAAAGCGACATGAATGCAGCACAATGAGTCCTGCTTACCATCAGTGGAAAAACTTGTCATGCAGTACTGAGATGATTCTGGGCATTCTGTCTCTGTCTTGCAGTCAGGGTTACTGTCACAGGTGTAGCATCTGAGTGTGAGCACTGATGAAAGATAAAAGTCATCAGGATTGACACAGGGTTTTCACTATAATCTTAAGATGTTATAAAGGTGACATCAATGTTTAGTCAGTGGGAATACTGGAGAGCCTTTCATTAACACAGACATTAAATTGCTGAGGAAAGAAAAGTCCATTGACAAGATCACAGTGATCCAATCGAATGGTTCCTTTATGGCTAAAGTTACAAAAGTATTACTTCAGTTTCACCTTTGATTTAGTAAAAATAATGTGGGAAAAAAACGGCAATTCCCTCACCTTGAGTGCTACACAGCAGGAGCAGCGTCACAAGAAGCAGGACCTTCATGTTGTCAGATGGCATGTGGAAAAACCTCCCACACTGGCACCTTATATACTGTCCCACACACCCACATATCAAACTGGAACTGAGTCGAGCACTTCCTTGTCTGTGATATTCCAGTAAATGTTCCTTTCAACTCTATTGTCCCGGGGAGAAAACGAAACGAAAATAAACAAAGACTTATTGAGTCTGCTTCATACTTTTGCTGATAAGCCAGGTGATGTGTTGCAGGAAGATTAGTTGATGCTGCTTTTAACCCTTTCCTGTAGGTTATTTATGATGAGGTTTGTAAACTCTGGATTTCTGAGATTACCTTCACGTCTGACATCAGTTTAAGACTGTATCATATTATATCAGGTCATGTCACAAATTTAAAAGCAGGCCAATCTGTAGTTTTCCATGGCATAGTTTGGCTCTGTTGAGTCACTTGAGGCATTCATTTAGTATAATTATATACAGCATAATTTTGTACAGGCACATCCAACTACTTGGACAGCACCCTTCCCACTACAGGACAACAATACGTAATTGTTTGTAAACCTGTTTTGATTTTCTGGGCCTGCTGCCCTTTATTATTCTCATACAGCTAAATTATAGTGTGTGGTGTAAAGGCTTTGGAAAAGTGGACGTTGTTCAGCGTGTGTGTTCCAGCCTGTTCAATTTAGACACTCTGACAGGTAAATGGTAACCCTTTGAAACAGTGGGTTGGTCATTACCCTACCAAAAGTTGTAGCGTGTGTAGCTGTATGATGAGAGATGTGAAATTGACGTGCATGAACTCACCCTCACCGTGATCACAATTAGGTGAATTAATTAACAGTAATTATCAAACCTTGATAAAACTCACTGAAAAACGATTAAGGCTATGTATACTGTGTTCTGCTGTATGTGTTTCCCTGCACTGGATGTAGTGTGAAAATGTTAACTTAATAATATCATCATGACCATATCATAAGGCTTAATTTAGAAAATGTGAAAATGTATTCAGTTCACCCAGCGATCACAAAAAGAGTCTTCAACCAACTCCCAGTTAATTGATTTTATCATTCACAAAAGCAGTCCACACATACTAAGGAGAATACATAGAAGTTTTATCAACACTCCTCTGGTGGAAACTTCTGATACTGTAGTTTTAAAAATTAAAAAATAAGAAAAAAACAACAGGGGAATCACTTCATCCGTGTTTTTAGTGCATTCAATAAGACTAAGAGTCAAACTCAGCACTTGTAAGTATAGCTTAACTATGAAATAATTAACATTAAGATATGCTGTCACCTTAAATTGCCTGTGCAGACACTCCTCATGTTTGTGAGGGTGACTACAGCATCAAGTACTTTAGTGACATCTGCAGGTGACAATGGGGAAGTGCAAGACAGTGTGAGCATGAGAATTTTTTTTTTCAACCCAACCTGTTTTCAATGTAAGGGAAACAGTCCTGCAAAGAAATTTGTAATATCCACATGGAGACTGTAAGATTTGTCTATGGATGACTTTGTAAAGTTATTCCAATAAATAAAAACTGCTGACAGTGAGGTCTGGGGATTTTCCACAGTAAGATGCTGCTGTTAAATGCTAATGGCATGACAAAGAAATCTCATTCTCCTCAACTGTATTGGGGTGACCTACTAATCACCCTACTGTATCACTGATGTTTACACGTGATGCCAAGAGTTATCAAGTCAGTGCTTCTAGGTGCTGTCACAGCCAGTGATACAGTTTCTATCTCACTGACCTGAGTCGCAATGAGGCTGGTTTCAAAACAAGTTAGGCAGGATGGTGACACTGAAGATGAGATAACAGATGAATGTTTACTTGGTTTCTCTTACTTTTACCCTCTTACCCAAAGGAAATATTGAACAAAGAACATGTTTAACTTGTTTCGCAAATTTATTTTCAGGACAAAAAGAGATGAAAAAAAAAGATGGTTCTTGTGTAATTCGAGATATAGCCTCTGGATCAAATGACTTTTGATCGTCATCCCTCTGCTGTCCCTAAAACATAATAAAACAGTTTGAGCTACAGTATAAAGACTTCAGCTCAACACCACTTTATCATAGTACTGTATCATTTTTACAGTTATAAACAAAGACTGTTAAAGTCGTGCTGAGGAGAAGCTGATAAACAAGCTGTCACACAACTATTCTGCCACAGATCACGTACAGACAGCCTGAGGCTTCACTGTGAAGCTGCAAATAAACTGCTGGGAGCTTGTGTTGTTTTCTGCTGCAATGCCAAAACTCTACTTGTGTTTATTATAATAAACAATAAAGCCATGATGCATACATTTCACCAGAGTAAAATCTTTATTAGCACATTTAGTTTACAAGCAGAGCTTTCCTCTGTATCAGTTAATAAATAAAAGATTAGTTAGAAAACCAGCTGAACAAAACAATGTAGCCTACCACTCTGAAGCACTTAATGTGGGATTCGCATACAGTGCCCTCCAAAAGTATTGGAACAGTGAGTCCAATTCGTTTACTTTTGTTGTAGACTGAAAACATTTGGGTTTGACATCAAAAGATGAATATGAGACAAGAGATCAACATTTCAGCTTTTATTTCCAGGTATTTACATCTGGATCTGATACACAACTTAGAAGATAGCATTATTTGTAATGGAACACAAAATTTTTAGGTGTAAGTATTGGAACATATAAACTTAAAATAGATTAAAGTGAATGAGACTTAATATTTAGTTGCAAATCCTTTGCTTTCAATAACTGCATCAAGCCTGTGACCCATTGACATCACCAAACCTTTGCATTCTTCTTTTGTGATGCTGTTCCAGGCTTTCACCGCAGCCTTTTTCAGTTGTTGTTTGTTTTGGGGGGTTACTCCCTTCAGTCTCCTCTTCAGCAGGTAAAATGCATGCTCTATTGGGTTTAAGTCTGGAGACTGACTTGGCCAGTCTAAAACCTTCCACTTCTTGCCCCTGATGAACTCCTTTTTTGTTTTGGCAGTGTGTTTTGGGTCGTTATCTTGCTGCATGATGAAGGATCTCCCAATCAGTTTGGTTGCATCTTTCTTTAAATTAGCAGACAAAATGTTTCTGTAGACTTCTGAGTTCATTTTGCTGCTGCCATCATGTGTTACATCATCATTGAAGATGAAAGAGCCCGTCCCAGAAGAAGCCATGCAAGCCCAAGCCATGACATTACCTCCACCGTGTTTCACAGATGAGCTTGTATTTTTGGGATCATGAGCAGATCCTTTCTTTCTCCAAACTTTTGCCTTTCCATCACTTTGGAAAAAGTTAATCTTTGTCTCATCAGTCCATAAAACTTTTTCCCAGAATTTTTGAGGCTCATCTCTGTACCTTTTGGCAAATTCCAGCCTGGCCTTCCTATTCTTCTTGCTAATAAGTGGTTTGCATCTTCTGGTGTAGCCTCTGTACTTTTGTTCATGAAGTCTTCTGCGAACAGTAGATTGTGATACCTTCACTCCTGCCCTCTGGAGGTTGTTGCTGATGTCACTAACAGTGGTTTTAGGGTCTTTCTTTACAGCTCTCACAATGTTTCTGTCATCAACTGCTGATGTTTTCCTTGGTCTACCTGTTCGACGTCTGTTGCTTAGTACACCAGGGGTTTCTTTCTTCTTCAGGACATTCCAAATGGTTGTACTGGCTATGGCCAATGTTTGTGCAATGGCTCTGATTGATTGTCCATCTTCTCTCAGATTCACAATTGCTTCTTTTTCACCCATAGACAGCTCTCTGGTTTTCATGGTTCCACCTCTAAATGCAGTCTGCACAGGCAAAACGTATCTTACCCAATCTGAAACTGAGCTCAGACATTCAGTGCTATTTATTGTTTGAATAATCAATGTAATTGGGAGACACCTGGGCAACAAAACAAACCTGTCAGTCACATGTTCCAATACTTTTGCTCTCATGAAAAATGGGTGGGTTCAAAAAAAAAAGGTGCTATCTTCTAAGTTGTGTATCAGATCCAGATGTAAATACCTGGAAATAAAAGCTGAAATGTTGATCTCTTGTCCCATTTTCATCTTTTGATGTCAAACCCAAATATTTTCAGTCTACAACAGAAATAAAGGAATTGGCCTCACTGTTCCAATACTTTTGGAGGGCACTGTATGAGGTACAGTATGGTTCATTCATAGGCGTTATTAGTCATTGCAAATCAAGCCGGAAGCAAGGTACTAAAAAAAGAATGTGATTTAAGTCTTGTAAAATGTAAAATAATAACTTGAGTGAAGTTTGCTCTGCTTTGCATTTTGATCTGTTGATGCCTCCCACAGCCCAGGACAGGATAAGTGGATTTGAAAATTAGTGCAGAGAATTTCTACAAACATAAATGACTCTTAGTCTCAGTGATATGTGGCATAAATACCGAGCCACAGTGTGAGGCCTCTCTGTAGACATTTGGTTTAAACAATGATGTTTAAAGTACATTTATACAGTATATATAAACTTTATAATAATTAGCGTATCAGTCACCATACCTGTTACATTTTTACGGTAAGGCAGCAAATGTGACCTACAAAAATGTCCTTTTATCCAATCAGCAATCCAACCTTTACACAGTATGTCATAATGACCATAAAGAAAGTCTGTGTTTCCTTAAAAATATGCTTTTTGAAGTTAAAAAATAGAATAAAATAAAAATGAATAAAATAAATTAAAAAATAAAATTTAAAATGAAAAATAATAATAAAATAAATTAAAATAGAAAATTAAAATAAAATTAAAAAATAAAAAAAGATTAAAAAATAATCCATCCATCCATTTTCTAACCGCTGGGGAGTTGGGGCCTATCCCAGCTGACGCTGGGCGAGAGGCAGGGTACACCCTGGACAGGTCGCCAGGCTACCGCATAATAAAATAAAACAAAATAAAAGGATTTGTAAAGATGAGTCTTGAATGGCTTGATTCTTGATATCTTGCTGATTTTAAACAATATTTATCCATATAAAATATCTAAAATAGTTTCAATAAATTAATAATATGTTTGGTTAAAAAAAAAAGTTGTTATAATAAAAGCATCAGTAAAAGTGGCCTAGATGCAACAACAGTTTCAGACAGTGTTAATAATGTGACAAAGTTAATGCAATCTGTGTTCATGATTCTTTTTAATAAGTGTTTTCAAGTTATAAAAATAGAGTTCTTACAAATTTAAGGCAAAAAGGTGCCCCATCTAACAAGAGCTCCACAACAGTACAACATAAGTCGTACTGTACTGCTGTTTTTCATTTTTATAATATATAATACAGATTGTTATACTACAGTATAACCAGCGAGAGCATGGTGCAAACTCATCTTATGTGGTGAAAGGACTAAGACGTTAGATTCTCCTGTTCCATGGCATCCTTTCTGTCTTTCACACAGTTGTCTTCAGATGTTGACTCCATACCTCTGTGGAACAGAGGCAGATTAGTATTTATCTTTGCAGATAAGCCATGTGTCATACAGTACCAGCATTGCACTAGCCAAGAACAGCTTAATTCTATCAAGATAACCTGTGAGTGAGGCATGGGTGGACATCATTATTCATTTAAATTTGAGGGCTGACCTGAAGTCCACATATTGACCATATCATTATTGGAACATGTTGGCCTATGCACTGAAATAAAAACATCAAAGACACATACAGTACTATATCCTTACAAAGCTGTGGGTTCTAGTTTACTTTGACCCAAGTTGATTCTTCTTAATACTATCTCTCTGACTTCCCCCCATTACAAAATAGTCCAAGTACAGTGATGCTTAACTATACGGAAACTCTGCATGTGTACTCGTGTGTGTAACTTTCATACTTGGCTGCTTCAAACTTCCTCTGTCGATAAGAGTCGCCCTTCTTCAACAGGTAGAGAAGAACCATGTCACAGAAGAAAGCTCCCTGTTAAATAAAGTTTTATTTAGTGATGTGACTGTTGCAACTGGTAAAAAATAACAATAATAATAATAATAATACAAAAAAAATCCTGTGCAGTTCTTTCAAAAGCATTTGTAACTATCAGTAGTACTTACAGCACCCATCAGAGCCAGCCCTGAACCAACATTGATGGCTGTTGGGACGATGCTGAACTTCCCGGCCTGTGAATAACAAAAGAAATGCAAAAAATGTGGTTTAAAATAAATCACAAAAATCATCTTAAACCCCTGTAAAACACATTTACCTTTCCGTGCACCATGATGGTAAATCGGATGCCATAGACTTTGAATAGAGAGCGATAGGTCTCACCATCAGCGTTTTGGTAATACCGACTGTGTCTGTTGGGGATAAAAGAAAAGAAGACAAGGAAGGTGAAATTATGGAGGCATGAGAATACGAAACGACACGATTAGGACTCCTGGATAGTTTTCTCCTCTCAAATAATGTGCTTTTAATTGTAAATAATTATACTTTTTTTTTATACTCTGCAAAACATAGCAACACAGACTAAGACAGTGTGTGCAGTGAGATTCACCTGAAGTTAAACCCCTTTACGATAGTCATGTTGGAGACATCCAGACGTGTAAAGTGGTACTGTGGATGGCAGTGAGAGTAACCTTTGTCAAGGTCACAGTCCCACTTTATCATAATGCCAATGGAGCCACCCTAGAAAACACAGTACACATTTGGTCATATGTGGCTCCTTAACCATATCAATTAATCATGGTGAAAAGGGTGGTTGCCAATGGCGTCCCCAGAATTTTTTCATAGTGGTGGCTGATGGAGCCACTGTATCAGGGTGGCCATGGCCCCATTGGTGGGTGCATATCTTTACACTACTGTCCTACAGGGCCAATAGACATCCAAGCATATCTTCTTCAACACACTGATGCTCACTCCATGATGAGGCATAAGAAACATTAAAAAATTAACTTAATTTAGTAATTTACCAATGTCAGTGTTCTGCTCAGTTTATTAAAGTTATCATGATAGAAATGTGCCTAAATAATGACAAATATGTTGACTGACAGGAGGCCTAACTACCATGTAAATATCAGAGATGCACTGATCCAACGTTTTCTCTCCCACTGTCGATACCTCAGCTCAGGGTATCTCATGATACTGAGTGCCGACCCAGACCCAGTGTCAGTGCTTTCTTTTTCCCAAATTTAAAATACCCTTGTAAAAAAGAAATTAATAAATATTTGCCGTTGTTTTAAATCTGTCCAGCACAATCGAACCAGATGTCTGTACTTCATCACTTGGAAATCCTGTGGTTCTTTCAGGAGGCTACTGGTTTCAGTCTTATCTTTTAGAGAGAACCTTTGTGGTCACCATAGGCAACCACTCCTCTTCTACAGCCTATATTACCTGTGGTACCGCAGGGTTCAATTTTAGGTCCTATTTTATTCTCTATTTATATGCTCCCACTTAGTCGTTATTCAACGACATAATGTCTCTTTTCACTGCTACACGGATGACACAAAGATATACCTCCCGCTGAGACCTGGTGACCCCAAAAGCCTAACTGCTGTTGGAGACTGTACCTGTGATATTAACTGTTGGATGGCACAAAATGTTCTACAAATCAACAACTCAAAATCTGAAATCCTCCTGTGCAGTTCCCCTAACTGCATCAGCCTCATCAAAAATGGTCTCGGTCCCCTGTCCTCAAACGTTAAGCCCACTGCCAGAAACCTTGTAGTAATTTTTGGTTCAGACTTAAGCTTTCAGCCCCATATCAAAAAAGTTGTACAGTCCTGTTTCAATCAGTTAAGTATTAACTATCTCTAAAATCAAACCAATGCTCACTCACGCTGATCTGGAAAAAGTCATTCACGCATTCATTTTCTCAAGACTGGACTACTGTACTGTAACTCCCTCTTTTCTGGCATCAACCATAAATCTCTCTCCCGCCTCCAACTTGTTCAGAATTCAGCAGCTAGGCTTCTCACTGGTTTTAAGAGATGACATCACATCACCCCGATCCTGGCTTCCCGCCATTGGCTCCCTGTAAGTTTTAGAATTGATTTTAAGATTTTACTGATCACTTTTAAAGAACATCTGGGTCTTGCCCCAAGCTACATTACTGATATGCTGACCCCCGCTGAACCAGTGCGCAGCCTTAGATTCTCAGGTGGGGCCCTTCTGGTCGTTCCAAAGTCGAGGCTTAAAACCAAATAAATAAAAGGCGACTGAGCTTTTGCCATCAGTGCCCCTTGGCTTTGGATCCACCTGCCTGAGGAGATAAGGCTAGCAGAATCAGTATCTTCTTTTAAGTTACTTCTTAAAACGCATTTTTATAGACTTGCTTTTATGTGATGTCATTGCTCTTCTTTTATTATTTATTTTTATTCTTGTTTTTATTTGTTTTATTTATTTTATTGTTTTTATTTTTTTATTTACTGTTGTTGTTTTCCCTGCTGTTGCTACCCTGTCTGCCTTTGCTATATTTTCTGTTGTTCCTGTACTGTCTGCTATGTTTTCTTTGAATGCTGCTGCTGTTTTTGTCTTCTTCTATTTTTTGAATTATTGTTGTTGCTCATTCTGGTTTTGCTTTGTTTGTCAAAGCATTTTGTAAACGCTGTTTTTAAAAGGTGCTATATAAATATTAAATATTATTACTTAATTCACTTTTCAGTGTTATTTTCTTGAAGGGAAAACATTTATTTAAGTCACAATAATCCCTATGGTCATGGTGTTATAGATAGTGTATCCCTATGATTTTAAAAAAGGACACAAAACGTTTGTTCATGTTAAAATGGCAGCTGCTTTGCCTTGTTTATTATTACATCACTCTTCTAATTTCTAGATAGAATAAAAAGCTGAAAAGTGTAATACTACCGATGTCGCCATGTCGTGGAAGTTGTGTCGGGCTCTTCTGGTGATGTCACCCAGGCGAAAGATGGGGCAGTAGGGGTGGAGCTCCTCATCAAATCGACATGTCTTCAAATAGGAGTGATCATTTGTTTCGAAAACGTTGGACCTCAGATTTAAGAAATGCAAAACATTACAGGGTGTAAATGAGTGTCCACTACTGTACGCATCTGTTTCTAGTTAACCAAGTTGTAATTGGATGGAGAGCCTATAATGAATGTTGAACACAGAAGAAGAGGACTTACTTTGAAAATTCGAATTTTGGAAATTGGATGAAATTCTTGATGTAAATGGTGAAGTTTTCAGCGTGTATCAGCAGCGGCTCTCTGTAAAATGAAAGAGTATTGTTTAGTGTCACACATTCTGTGCTTTGCTAAGAATATAACATTGGAAAAAAACAGGTTTAGGGACATAATTCATGAGATGTTTCTCAGTGCAGAGGGGTTGCTAACAAGTGGAGCAGATATACAGTGATAGTGGTTGGACAACTGAGAGGGCCATCACATTCACACGAAGTTACCTCTCAAACAAGTCGGGCCAGCACCGGATGTTTAGCTTAAACAAATGCAATGTAAATAAAAGGCCAATGTCAAGCTGCTTAGTATCTGCTCTTTGTTTAGGTGAGTGTGGTATTTAAAGGCAGCTTAAACATTAGCTAATGAACAGATTGAAGACTATGTTCTTGTCTTGGGGCTTAGTACATGTATAAAAGCACAGCCTGATACCAACTGCAGGGCCTAGTGATGGGTCAAAACGTCTTTCAACATGGGGTGACCTCTAGCTCACCAGGCAGAGTGTGTTCCCCATGTAGGCCAAGTCCAATTGGAAGATAGATGGTTTACACACTCCATATTCTCCCCAAGTGAGCGAGTGCATGTGTGGCATACACCAAGAGAACAGCACAGGCCTGAAAGCTTGACCCCTACAGTGAGGAGATCTGGTGGTTTTGCTGGCATATTTTAGACCTACTTATTCCCTTAGTGGTAATGGTCACTGCAAGTCAAAACAAAGTTGTTTCTAAGTGATCATCTTTATCCTGTGATAAAACATTTCTATCCTGATGGGAATGGTGTCTTCTTGGATGATAATAGGGCACGAGGGGTCACTGAATGGTTTGATGAGTACGACAATAACGGGAATCATATGCTATGGCCTTCACAGTCACCAGATCTCAACCCAGTTCAACACCTGTGAGAGATTTTTGACTGACATGCTCGACAGCGCTCTCCACCACCATCATCATTAAACCTAATCAGATAATATCTTTTGGAGGAAGGTGTTCATCCCTCTAGCAGAATTCATGAGACTTGTAGAATCAATGTAATGTAATGGTGAGTCTGCTTTGCTCCTTACTGTGGTTTCAATTTTCTTTCAATGGGACACCAGCCGTAGATTTCGCAGGTACCAGTGGAGTTTTCATCGTATCTTAAACATCGGCCGCTCATCATCCCTTCAGAAAAACAGCAAAATAAGAGTCACACAGCTTGTAACATGTAAAAGAAGTTTGAATTTCTGTTGCAAAGATATACATATACATACATCAGTTCAAAATGTTCAAAGTTCAAATGATAATTCTACTCTTATTTCCAAATTTCATGTCAGTGACCTCGACTTGAACAGACACTAATCACCACTCAGAACATCCCTTATCATTATCTTAACCCCTTGTGTTTTCTATCATACATGTTGCACTAATTTTTGTTTATTTGGAAAAACACAGTGACAACAAAAGAGAATGTAACCTTGTTAAATTTGGACCCAAATCATTTTTCATGTTAGGCTGACTGACTTAACCACTAACTAAATGGAAATTTAAAGCGTTGTTTCTTCCTGACCATGACCAGACACCACCATCCTCCCCTCTTCACAGTCCTTGTCGTCTTGACAGTGGCCATCCAGCACCTTGAGGCTCTGAGATCAAACGCCACAGAAAAAAAAAGGCAAAGGTTCAAAGTGTATTTAACCATAAACAGACCACTTTTACACAATTATAAACAATAAATAATAATAAAACAATAATAAGCAAGGTTCATAGCTATGGAGGCCCATCTTGGCTTTGAAAAGAAAAGAAATACATAAAATCCTAGCCATGTTAGAAATAAAATACTCGCAGTAAGGCAACCTTATGACTAACTAAGACAAAATTGTGAGATAGCTGTCACATTTCAAGTGTCCTTAATTTATTACCTTCTAATTTGACTTTGTATCTCATACTTTTGACTTAGTATTTAATAATTTTGACTTACAAGCTCCTAATTTTCCACTATTCCATCATTTTGATTTGGTAACTCATACTTTTGACTAAGTAGCTCATAACTTTGTCTTAGTGTTTAAACACCTTGACTTAGTATTAGTATTTTACTTTTCCTGGCAAGTATGGGCTCCCAAAATATCACATGTATCGGCTGTTCCTCTAATAACAATTATTGGAAATGAAATATGATGAAAAGGTGTAAAATGTTCACAGACAATGTGACCAAAACATATACTAATATGGTTAGACAAGGTCATCTGAGGCTGTATTTGCAACAGTTTGTCCTGTTAGTATTCCAGCATGCTTTCACATAAATGGTAAAGGTAAGAGGATTCTGTTTTCTAGCAAAACATGAAAGTAAAAATGTGCTTCGGGGTTGTTTATGAACACATGTCTGTGCCCTTTTCATATCAGACTTCAACTAAAACACTCTTGTGTTAGTGAGACTGTGCCTAGTTAGACATGATAAAGGACACTTAAAGGCTCCCACTCAAGTGTGGCAGCCTTTCAGGCACAGGGGCACTGCAGCTGGTGAGAGCCGAAATGTATACAGGAGCAGTGTTTTATGGCTGTGCGGTGCTTTTGGACGCTTGTTATTTCTCTTGGCTGATGCAGTGAGGCAAGAGACCAAGAGAGGCTGAGTTTACATACCAGGAACCTTCTGGAAATTTAAAGATGTAGCTAAGAGAAATGATGAACAGTATAACTGGCAAACACCCGTAGAAAGACGGGGGAGGTGTCAGCCTTTGTCAAGAGTTAGAAGTCTTCTGTTATGAGTAAGCGCTGTGAAGAAAACGCAGACCAGTGCTGCTCTGGCTGTGACTGGCTTTGCCACCACACAAGCCATGAGAAATCAGTAGGGGGGCGCTATAGATCAGCCACTGTCATTGTGCACAATACACTGATGACTGATTCACAACTTTCTCAGTCTTTAGGGGGGTTACTGTAATGCGCAACTGTCTTCTTCATCCTGGCATTTTAAAAGTTTGAACTGATTCGTGGTGCTTCTGGTAGCTGAGTAGCTCAAGTAACCATTTATGAAGAGCGATAACAAGTTTGTCTCTACAGTTTACTGAAATGACAAAATATCAGCTATGGGGATCTAACGATGGCAAAGTTCTAGTTTATTTATGTTTCTTCCTTTCCAGTTCTTCCCTAACCTCAGTCGCACATGGCCTATTGTATCTATGAAACGGCGGTGCAAATAGTTTCCAGATGTTTTAGACGTCAAACAGTGCAGAGTAAACAAAGTAACCTTAAAATAAACACAGCTAGTCTCCGACAGCTCGAAACTGCGAGCCAAACGGCGAGGGAACACAGTGTCTAAACAGGACATCATGCCCTCCAGCTAGCTGATGCTCACAACAGAAAACTCACGAGTATCCAAATGTTAAACATAAACATGTTTGTCTCAGAATTAAATGCGGTTCATCCAGATGACAGTCATAACAACTTTCTAGACAGACACAATAAAAAGGTGAAGCATGGTCAAATAACAACAGCAATACTAAATTAACTAAATTAACTTCTTGTCTTTTGCTTCTCAAGAAGACAACTGACCTGAAAACTTCAAGTACTTTGAAGTAGGAAATTTCATCTCTCAAGAAAATGCTGTGCATCATTAAAATTGTATGACAGCTCAAGTTTCTCTGTGTTTAACTAAATATGGAGGTGCAGCAGTATCTTCTCAGTTCTGCATGACCTTGTGCGCAGCTCCAGTGCCAGCGGTCAGTCTGACCATGTTTACTTCATTTTGACCTCAGACACACATACATGTCCATATCCGTATAAAGCGAGGGACTATGTTTAATACACAGCTGTTGACACTGATATTGGCTGATAGCCTATTTATCTTTCAGGGGTTCATCTGTAATGTGTTACATGGATTGTTGGGACTGATTCAGATTTTTTTTAATAAGAAGGATGAAATTTTGACAAAAAACTTTGACCTGGCGAGGCAAGAATAACACAACTACTGTCCAAAAGTGGGTTGCTGGTCCATTCTGAATGGACCACAAGTGACTCGCAAATATGTCAAGTTTGTAAAAAAACACACTTTATTTTTAAGTACTATGAATTTCTGGCACAGAGCTTTTATTTTGAAGTAGTTTCCTGCTGAAAAGTGAGTGTCTAACTGACAGAGACTTGAGAGACAGCAAACCAGCTCAACAACATGGCCAAACGCAAGTATGACACTAAGTATATTTAACTGTGTGGACCTTGAACTAATGACTAAGGAGAAATCTGGATCCCGTGGGTGGACCAGTTGGGAACCACACGGGTCTCCATTGTTTTTCAGGCCAAGGACCCCTTTGCTGAAAGAGAGACAAAGCAGGGACCCCCTACTACATAAACTGTACAAAAACAAGTTGCCCTTAGGACAATTCTCTGAATATTTTGGGGCCTTCTCTTGTTTGCACTCGCCTGTAGCTGCTAAGTCAGCATCAGCTGCAGCATAGCTAGGTGCATTAACCTCACCCCCTGCACTTTCGTCAGTGGTTTCTGGGGTAGACAACGTGTCAGAGTCTCTTGCTCCGTATTATAAACCACTACACATGACATACCAGTAATCATACAGCTAACTGGCCAATATGTGAATAAAAAGGAGAAGCACAGTGATTTCACATGAGCTAGCTCACATGATTGCACATTGATTCATGGGTACGCCTATCATAAATGTTGTACACTGTAAATTAATTTTATGAATGGGCCAGTTTATTTTTGCTGATTACATGTTGAATTTGTATTAATGTGTAATGTCACACACATTTTACTTTTTGGAAAAAAAAGAACATTGAAATTATAAGTTTGGTTAAATTATCAAGAGGTAATTTGGGGGGCCTGCAGTAACTCTAATGACCCAATGGGGGCATGGACCCCCTGTTTAAGACCCAGGATGTATCAGATTCCAATAAAAGTTTATCATTACTGGCATTATGCTGTCAAAGATGAAAATAATGACTAGCAAATTAGATTCAAGATTCATTTTGACAGCTGCGATTAAAGCCACTAGAAGTGCCCATGTGAGTGCAAACACAGTGGTCTAAGAAACAGTCCTTGGTGTACACTTAAGCTAACTGTATAACACATTCTTACCTCAGCACAGTATCCCAGCTTCTGGTTTGGTGTTTCTAGGAAATTGGTTACAACAAACAGAACAGCTTCACCCTAGATGTAGAGAAAACAATATGAACTGGTCTTTATGTTGACAACATAACATGACGACCCCTGTACTCCCACCCTTTCTCCCTCTTCAGCCTTAGACTCTATCTTGAGGGGTCTTCAGTCAGGCTGTCACCTGACCCTGCTCCTGCACGCACACCTGTCCCTCTCAGGATATACAGTATACAGTAACCACTGTTCCAACGACTGTGTTGTCATAGTGTCTAACTATTCCCCCCATAACCTGTTTTCTGTTGATTTAAACCTGCTTCTGTCTCCTCTTATTAAACAAGAAAGGGAACAATTCCCAAAATGTCAAACTACCCCTTCAACCAGTTTTTCCTGACTGACTGTCCGTATATGGGCCCTGAACAGTCACATTTTATTGTTTTGTCAGCCTGCACTGGTACATGTCACCACTGAAGTTCACTTGAATCCTGCATGTTCATGAAGTCAAGCAGACATAAGAAACAAATACTTTAAAATGGATGTTTTGTTATCTTCTTAATTTAGCCACGAGCATGTCTTTCACCCAGTTTGGATGTATGCACATATTAGTTTGGCTGCAGTGTAAATGCTTCACCTGTGGTGGGATGACATAGTCCTCTGGTCCCCACACCAGCAGACCAGACTCAGTGGTGTTCGTCACTGAGACTCCCTTCAGTTTAGTTATAATAGAGCTCTGGATAGCCTCGTCTGTCTCCTGGTAGCCTTTCTTTACTATGAAAACCCATCTGTGAGTGAAAGGAAAAATGGAAAATTGTTTGTTGTGTCATTTAATTGACTTATTGTTTGTGTTAAACATTAAGGAAAATACAGAATGTGTGGGCCTATTGTCTCTTCTATATTTGGCAATAAGAACACATTCATGTTTGTGCTTTATGGTAGTGGATTTTTTGTTCCACTATCATATAATATTCTTGTTTGAAGTTAAAAGTATTGCCATGATACCTGTGGTTATAGGACTAGACTGTACACTGTTAGACATTTTGTGCAATAATAAGAATAAGTTATTTTTAACTCTAATACTGACTGTTGCTTTGTTGTTTATCATTAAGGTACTGCAACTTTAAGTCAAATTTACTTACTATATTAGGGTTTTTAATGTATGGGTTTTGCTTCAAGGCACTGAGAAAGCCACAAGAGTACTCTGAACATAAAAAAACTTTGTGCTACAATTATAACTGTAACTCAATCAATCAATAAATAAAGATATAACCTTCCTGTCACTTGGCCTAAGAAAGCACTGACTAAAAACTTAAAGCCCATTTACTTTATCAAGCTTTAAAATCATCATAATGGTCAATTTGGAAACATAATAAAATAGGTGAGTGTATAGTTCGGTACATTTATGTGAGCTGCTAAATTTACATAAATTTCTATGTTAATATATAGGCTAATTTTATATCTGAGAGGAATTCAAAATGATTTGCTTTGGGTTAATTAATTTAAATGAATTTATGGCATGTGAAAACGAGGTAATAAAACTGTAAAAGCCACAACAGTAATTCACTGACTTACCCTATAATGTACCCGATGATAGATAACTGAATAAGTCTGTACAAAACTCCAACTGTCTTATTTTTGGCGACAATGTATTTTTCCGTTTTGTAGTCGAACAAGGAGAGGAAGCGTCCTTTCAAGAAGCTCCCGGCCATCCTGCAGCTGTCTGCGGGCAGTTGGGTGTCAGAGCATAGTGAGTGATAGTGGTCCACACACACACAGCCGGAGAGTTTCTATCTGCGGGCGGCGGACACACACACTCCCACTGCCAAGCCCTCATTATGATCCCCCCCCCCCCCCACACACACACACACACACACACACGCTTCTCACCGCCAGCGTCAAGTCAGCATCAACAAGCACCATATCCAGGTGGGACTTTCAAAATAATGCTAGCCTTCTGATGAGAATATCCGGCATTCTGTTGATACAACATAGTGGTTTTAACAATTGATGGGAAGGAAAATACATACATAATAAGTGTAATGCATGTAATTTATCCTGGCTTCATATGAGTAGAGGAAATCTCCACCAGTCGCTTGGCTAATTTGCTCAATGTAAAATACCATAGGCTTGCGCTAATAACGTTAGCATATTGTATTTGTTTGGAAAACGTGTTTAGTATAAGACAGTTGTTTTGTCGGTGAACATTGTGAGTTGTAATGGAGCCAAATTTTGTAACGTTACTTTGTTAAATGTTGCTGCTGTCCCTGGCTTCATATGAGTAGAGGAAATCTCTGCACACGGCTAGGCTAATTTATACAATGTAAAATGTCATAGGCTTGTGCTAATAACGTTAGCATGTTGTATTTGTTTGGAAAACGTATTTAGTAGAAGACAGTTGTTTTGTCGGTGAACCTTGTGAGTTGTAATGGAGCCGAATTTTGTAACGTTACCTTTGTTAAATGTTGCTGTTGTCTCTAATTTTATTGAGGAAGAGGAAAACATCTTAAGTGTAAAACAGTTGTTTTGTCGGTGAACCTTGTGAGTTGTAATGGACCCAAATTTTGTAATGTTAGCTTTGTTAAATGTCACTGTTGTCCCTCGCTTCATGTGAGAAGAGGAAATCTCTGCTAACTGCTAGGCTAATAAATACAATGTAAAATGCCATAGGCTTGTACTAAAAACATTAGCATGTTGTATTTGTTTGGAAAACGTTAATATTAGACAGCTGTTTTGTCAGTGAACCTTGTGAGTTGTAATAGATCCAAAGTTGTAACGTTACCTTTGTTAACTTGCTGTTGTCCCTGGTTTCATACGAGTAGAGGAAATCTTTGCTAGCCGCTAGGCTAATTCATACAATGTAAAATGTCATAGGCTTGTGCTAAAAACATTAGCATGTTGTATTTGTGGCGAAAATGTATCCAGCAAGCCATGTTTAATGTGTGTTTTGAAGCAGTCAAATTTTACAGCACTTCACAGAAACTCCACCGCCAACTAGTGTTCTGGAGGTGTAACTGCAGAGTGACACAATCACAACAGCACAAGTATTAATGCTCTTAACGGCGTAGGCTATTGTGTAGCTATAGTATATAGGCTAGTTTATACAATGTAAAATGCCATGGGCTTAGGCTAATATCGTTAGCATGTTGTATTTGTTTGGAAAATGTGTTTAGTATTAGACAGCTGTATTGTCGGTGAACCTTGTGAGTAATGGAACCAAACTTTGCAACGTTACCTTTGATAAATGTTGTCCCTGGCTTCGTATGTGTTGAGGAAATCTTTGCTAGCCGCTAGTCTAATTTATACAATGTGAAATGCCATAGGCTTGTGCTAAAAACATAAGCATGTTGTAGCCTATTTATATTTTAAAATGTGTCCAGCAAAAGGGGAACTGCCCATTGGTCCGACAGCCCATTGGTCCGACATCCCATTGTTCCGACCATTGTTCAAGGCAAGCCGAGGGTAACCAGTTGTCTCAGGTCAGCCCAAATCAAAATGTTACCTGGATGCTGGCGTAATTTACTAATACCTGAGGAAAGCCATGCGCTCTGTGAGTTTCAGTGGCTCACACAGGTAGACGTGCGGTTTGTGTTATATTGTCTTTTGTTGACGTGAAATCTAGTCCAGCTTGACTCAAATTTGTGTATATTATATTTTCTTTCCTTTCTTTTTTTAATGTCGCTGGTACGTAGCGCTCACTTACAGAAACATATTCACTGTGGTAGATGTGAGCTGCGACTTTAAGATCGCCAGTAATATGTTGTGTATGTTTGTGAATTTGTGACGAATCTGCTGACGGAGGCGCAGCACATCTGCAGCTGTTCGGTAAGGAAACCAGTTAAATTGGAAACCAGTAGGGACACAACACCGGTCGCAGCGCACCATCAATGTTGAAATACGCCCGCCGGGAGCCGTTCAGCATCGCAGACCGTCAGACTAATGGGATGTCGGACCAATGGGCTGTCGGACCAATGACATGGACCCCAGCAAAAGACAAGTGCTTTGTCTGTGAATGCTGTGTTATAGTGAAGCCAATTTGTGTTTGAAACTGTCGGCAGTGAGTCATGTTTAATGTGTGTTTTGAGTGTGTTTTGAATCCACAAAACTTTGCAGCACTTCACAGAAACTACCCCTCTGACTAGTGTTTGGAGGTGTAATTTCAGAGTGACACAGACACACCACCACACAAGTAAAAATGCTCACAGCGGTGTAGGCCATGTGCGTAAGCTACGGCATAGGCTCTGTATTGAGCTGAGGCACAAGTATAAATCCCGCTTAAGAGTCCAAAGTCCACAGCAGCTCCACAAGCTGAGCTTGTGAGTAATGGAACCAAAGAGGGTGGGAATCTGTCCCCCCCTAGAATAATAATAAATTATAATAATATGTGTCTTGTTCTTGTGATTAGTTTTCTGTGCATACCTGTGTGTTTCCCTTTGTTCTTTGTCAGTTCGTCTGTGTCCCTCCTGGGTGCGTTCTTTTGATCATCCTGCATTCATCCTTGTTCATCGTGTGTTTCCCGGATGGTTTTCAGTTTAGTTTTTGTTCTGCTTTCATTCTGACTTTGAGTTGCCTGCCTGTACTGGATGTTTTCAATCAGCAACATTAAATCTCGCTTTTTGTTAAAAACTCAAACTGTCTGTTAGTCTGCATTTGGGTCCTCCTCTGAACTGACTGTGGCACCCAGCTGTGCTGCTGGAGGGAATGTGGAGAAATCATGGTTGCACATGCCCATATTTTCTGGTCTTGTCCTTCTATTCAGACTTTCTGGAAGGAAGTAGCAACAATCATTTAAAAAACTTTGGGTTTTAGTATCAGTACAACATTCACATCAAACAAAGATTATATCTATTTACTAAAGATCCTGCTGGCAACAAGTAAAAAGGCTAAATACTGGCTCCAGAAAAACTGTCCCAGTGTTCGCCTCTTTATTAATACTGTTAATCACTTACACCTTATGGAACAGATGACATATTGTATACGACCTCAGAAAGAACTGAGAGGGAAACAGTGGAGAAAATGTTTATTTAGCCAATGAGACTGATGTCACATGATAATCATATGTACCATATATGAAACCTTACTTTAAAGGGATAGTGCACCCAAAAATGAAAATTCAGCCATTATCTACTCACCCATATGCCGATAGAGGCCCTGGTGAGGTTTTAGAGTCCTCACATCCCTTGC